TCGTCCTTCGAAAGGGTTCTCTTTATCGTTCATGGTATTTTAAAATTACCATCGGAAGCTGAATGCTTTATACTTACCTTCTACGACTCTCAATAGTTTATAATGAGCCTCCCTTTTGGGTCTACCCTTGTAGTTTGCGGCATCAGAACAAAAAGAAACTTCAATAATTTAGTCTTTCAATAATTCTGAAAGCAGAATGGATAGGCCAACGATATGGGATAGGCACTGTCATCATTGACTTTATATCCTAGTATTGGCCTAGATAGTGTTATTTGTTGCCTCCAAACCTTCTAGCAAAGGCAATGTGCTTACAGAGTTCAGATTATTCTGTGATGATGTATATAGTTTCATGTACTTTGTTTAGGAATTCTATTGCAACTATGAGATGAACCATTGCAAACATCTTTAACCAAAGCACCTTCTATTAATTTTAATAATACAGATTGTTTGGGGTCTATTTATGAGTTTATGCATTGTAGAGTCCGTCGGTCCAGTGACGTACGAAACTAAAGTGAAACGAGATTTTCCGCATTTGTTCCACCATTATAATGCTGGCAGCAGACCGTGGAATGCTGATGCTCAGATTATTCACTTACTTTCTTCCTCGTTTTTACCCTTTAAATTGAGACGCACCCATATATTTCACCGACCTTTAAATGAAGTGACAGGACATCTTGTAATATCAGTACATTATTTTATAATGTACTGAGCTGAAGATGAGTACGTGGAGAATAAATTATTAGTTTCCTACAGCAACGTTTTGGAATGTATAAGTTCAGGAACATCCACCAACTTTTATCTCAATGTTTCATTTAAAATTCTTGTACTCATTTCATTATTGCAAAACCATGCAATTTCTATATATTTTAATATGCAACAGCGAGATTTAGGGTTCAAATCTCATCAGATCACCAATGGATTTGACCTAAGTGATAATACCACAACCACTAGGTCAAGCCTGAAGTAATGTGAAAAAATTCAAAGCTGGTGCCTTGCGTCCTAGGAAAAAAATTAAATTATACAACGATGATATTTATATAAAGAATCGTAGTCATACTATAATCGACTACCGCCAAAAAAATACAAAATGTCATCATTTTACAGTGAATTTAGTTTTGTTTATCACCAACATAATGTGGTCTCTTCTTTAGCTATATCCAATACATAGTCACTACATTATCACATGATGGGAAAGTAGTTAATACAGAATTCTATTCTTACATTTATTCCAAATCCACATTCCTCCTACCTGCTTCCGAAGCGAATGAGGAAAAGGAGTAAAAAGGTTTAGTCTGAGGTTTATCCTAGATTAATTATGGAATAGATAACATAAGATATACAGAAGTTCAGTTTTCCTTGTTCAATGTTAATGTGAAACCGATGTATCAAAAGCTTAGAGTACCTCCGAACATAGCGGTTCAACGTAAGGCTATTAGCGGGTGATTCTCGGCCAACTCTCTACAAACACGGGGAAGAAAGTCATGAGTGTGTGATGAGTACCGTAATGTAACTAAACATTGAGCTTGCCAGTGTGTGGTTCATTATTGGACGCGTTTAAAGTAGGCCTATTTCGCGTTTCAAAATATTTGAGATATTTTTATAATTATATTATATATTTGTCCAAATTGTGGAGATTGAACTGTCTTCCGTAATTAATGAAAAATACCGTAGTACAAACCAATTGCTAAGGAACGACCTGCGATAGGTTCACGATTTTACTTAAAGGCTGGAACTACCTAACTTAACAGTTCCTTCCTAGGCTAGACAGTTTCGAATTGATTGCCCTCAACATAATCAATTACCGCGCTTGCATCAAGTACTGTAATCGTAATCGCTGAGAACGCGTAACGCCGGGAGGAGAGGAACACGACAGCTTCATGGCAAACATTGTACCAGCCGTTTGTGGGTCGAAGCACGTGCAGGAATGACTGGGTCGTACCGCAGTGACTCAACCTCGGGCTGTTCAGAGGAAGAAGAAAGCTGGGGAGCTATAGAGGAAGTACATACTGAACACAAAACGTACAAGGAGAAATCAAGGGGTCATTACTTTAAGAACCCTTTGTTGCAAAACCGGCCATCTAGTGTGAGGTAATAACCGAAATCTCTAACTACCAAAACAGGGAAGGCGAGAGTTTGACCTTGAGCAATCAAGTTGAAGGTCATGAGTTGATTGCCCCTTCAGCACGTCCAGTATCCTACGTGAAGGACTTTAGTTGTGTGATGGCGTTTTTTGAGGATTTGAAGAATATCTTTTAACACACATGTTTTGTCTAAGCATTGCAACTAATCTTTGACACAAACATTGATTAGGGCTGCAATAACTGCATATTTCTCTCAAATAAGTCTTACTGCATATTCTGTACAAGAGAGCTCATTGAAGTTTTACTGTAATCTCAGTGTTTGATATACAGTTTTAGTTTTAGTCCAAGCTGCGAAGAAGGGTTGTAATGATGACATTTGAAATTGTGAAATTGAGTGATTTATAGAGACCCCTTATAAATACACACCGTTTAAACGTTTTTCACCATAACTCATCTGTAATGAGATAAATAACGTAGCCAATAAACATGAATGCGTCTAGCAATGGTGCATTCATTTGCATCAATAATTACTTCTTCTAGCATTATCACAGACTGATTCACTTGTCTGTGGTATTATTCATCATCCACAGACATTAGCTAAAGAAAGTTCTACAAATGAATAACTCATTTTAATCATCATTTCACGCTGACTTGCAATTAATGTCTAACCATGGCTGCAGTCTGTCTTGAAGGAATGCAGCAAATGCGGTTAAACACCTGTTTCCGTCTATTAAACTGGAGCAAGGAAGCAAAACGTCAGGGTCAGCACGCTTGAGAGGGAATGGTCACAGTTTGAAAGTGAAAAACCCCGCCTCGGGTGTCAGGACCGTAAGTGAGAAAGTTGTGCTACATCACCCACGCCTCAGGGTAGGGCCGTTCTATTTGGGAATTTTCTGCCTGTGGTGGTGGCAATCATCAGGTCAGTTAGTGGCCATAGTGTTTGGTATGCAATTACAGTGCGAACTAACAAAAGAGGTTTTACCTGTTGAAGTTTACAAATGTGTGATTTATGATTGTTCATGATACCAAAAGAGTTTGCAGATGTTGGCCTTGGTTAATGACTTTAAGTAAGGATTTATAAACTGCGAAAGAACCTGCGAAAAGTGCCATTCATTTACGTGTATAAATGAGTAATAAAATTGAAGGAGTTTTCAAAACTATACATACTGTACTTCACTGTAGACCTGTTAAAGTGAAAATATTTATTTACTTAACCAAGAAATCCTTGCTCAAACAGATTAGCCTAGTATATTTTGAAAACTCTAACACCGCTAACATTCTTCTGGTAGTCAAAATGTAACAATTCTTAGGGAATAAAAAGAAGCCTACACATCCAAAAGCAATACGAGTGTTGTAACTAGAGCTTGGATTGACTCAATTTAACGTTGAGCTTTCACATAATGGACTCACATATTATTTCCATGAGGGTTTTAACATACTGTTAAATCCAAATGCCCTTTCTTGCACGGTTTGTTGGATCTACTCTTGTGCTCTCCAAACCTTTTAGAATTCAACACATACCTGCAATTGGGCAGTCCATACAATTGTCTAATAGCACAATTTAAATCAATAAAGTCGAATTTTTCTGAGAAAATATCTTCATAACTCATACAAATGGTTTAACTTGCATAAAATCAAAACAAACGCACGCCAATAAAAACGGGGTTAAACCCACGCCATCTGGACAGCAGATTATTTTTGCAGTCCTTCGGTTGAATCAAATTATAGCAGACAGAGATCCAAATAATGTTATGAACCAAGTTTTAAATTTGTCTTCAACATATCAACTATTGTACAAGAAATTAATTGTAAAATCCCTTATGAGAAAATTAAAAACCACAGTTAATCCATTATGAATTGTGTTGTCTACATTTACAATCGCTACCGTTTTCTCAAAACAAAACTTGTTAGGACTTTATGGTATTCTTTGAAATGTTTTCGCTCATAAATATTCCGTAGTTGTGTCCTAGTTTATTTTTGCTAGTCAAGTTTATCAAAGTAAGAGGTGTCTTCAATACAATTTCTCCAACTGAAAACTTTCCTCAGGAAGCTCTCGCCGGTGCCAAAATAGCTTTCCCAGACAATGGATCGATTTGATTGGTCGACTGATTTTGCATGTCGTATTGCTGCACTAAGTTGAGAATGCTAAGCCACACTACTCTACTCACTCTACAAATTCCCAGGAAACTTTTGTCCATGGGATATAAAAAAACGAAAGAATGTGATTCTAATAAAATTTTGGGATTAATAGATTGATCATAGCTTAGTTTGTATTTCACTTAACTTTATAGCCTAGTGTGTAAAATTTGAGTATTTCGAAAATGTGCACTGTACTCTTAAATAAAATGGCCAGGGAATAGTTGATGTAAAATATTCAATTTGTAAAATTAACCTAAATAGAATTCTCGTAATATTCGGCACCTTACAACATTTTCCCAAAATCACAATCTTTAGTAGCAGCGTTACAAGTCCAAATCCTCTTGTACGATTGTAAGTTTTACTCTATATAGAGACCAACATCAAAATTTGTCATTAGTTTTATCTGAAAAGTTGAATAATTCTTGCAATAAATAAGAAATTACTGTCTACATTACCATAATATTTTGCCATGTTAGCGTTATCTTTCACACGTTTTAGAAATCTACTGAGCATTAATAATTCACATTTCTTTTATATCATACCTCACGCAAATTGTATGTTTTTGTTTTCTGTTTAAGTACGTTTTTCACATTACTTGACTGTTTGTGATGTGAAAGAGTATTTGATTGTTTGGTGTGAATAATTAAATTATATACGATTGTCTTTTGATTCTTGAATCCTTCGTGTAGGAGTATTTATTAGTTTCAGTGTGAATAATTATTCATTCAATTTAAGTTACACTTTTTCCCAACCAATACTAAATTACCTTTTCGGTTGCAGAGAAGCTGTTCAGGAAGAAGCTGATGTCGTCGATGTTAGCGGCCATGTTGATTCTGAAGTTGCTCAAGTTGAAGCTCATGTTCTTCCTACCCGTTCTTCTGGGAGTTGGAACCGCCAAAAAGATCCTCCTGAAGGTTCTGCTGTTCCTGTTTCCCGCGCTGGCTCATCTGTTTAAGCTCTGCTCGTACTACCACCACAAGCACGCAAAATATCACCATCATCATCACCAGGTATGTTGTACATTGTAGCAAATAAACTCTATGCTAAAAGATTCACTGGCTCCCGCGTTAGCACACTTATTCAAGCTCTGTTTATATTACTAGCAAAAAACGCGCACGATACGCAAGTTCTTCCTAAATGTTGATTATTGTCTTTGGAATTATCGTTTCAACAGGTGTGACACTCATTTTTCGATTATAAAGATGTCAAGTACACACGTACATAGAGACATTAGAATTTAGACGATTCTTTGAGAGCCACAAATTTAAGAAATCTCAATGGCGTTACATTTAGTTGATAGTGGAGGCTGTTCTAAGAAAGATGAGCCAACTACGCGGTTAGATGAAGTGAAATTGAACTAATCGCGTACCTCTTTATGTAATTAATGGCATAAATAAAGATTAATGGTGCCAACAAACAGAACTACGAGGTGCTCTATATATTATTTGGTTATGAAGAACTAATAAATTATTACACCGGGAGGAGCTTGGAGTTATTTTAATGTTTTTTTAGAGGAGCTTGTTAACAGTGATTAATCTTAACACAATTAATTAAATATTGATCTGTAAACATTTCTCATTTTAGTGCGTTCAAACAGCCGTGGCACCTGACGGATTAGGAGACCCCATGGAAACCCTTGGAGTCTCCTAATCCCTCAGGTGCCACGGCTGTTTGAACGCACTATAAGTCAAATTTCTTTGTTGTTTCCTGTAAATGCTATATTTTGTATGCTATATTTTAGAAGATTGTAATAAATTCACTATTTCAGTATACCAAAGAATTTCATGCAAACTTTGGCCAACTAAAGCAATGAAAATGAAGAACTAAGGCAAACCAAGACTGACACAGTGTCAAAAATTAAATTTGTGCAACATAGTAAACTTACGGTTTTCCTAACTTTGAATGATTTTGTTTTGTAAATAAAATTTTTAAATTTCATTCACTTACTCTAAATTTATGCATTATCTATATAGCTTTTGTTTCTTTTACAAAAGCAAAACGAGTAAATTCCCAGAAATATAATTCGAAACACCCTGTACATAGTTAGAAACAATTACAACTAATGATCTAACGGAGAACGAGGTTGGATATCCACATAACAAGTGCGACCTGCGCATGAACTCGGAACCTAATCTCAGTTCAAACCGTCTGTAATGATTGTTTTGTTCTGCCGGAACTAATGGTACTATTAGAGTGTCTAGAGTTGCTGCAGCTGATGTAGTGATAAGGGAGCTTATATCGGGGTTAATGGGCAAATGACGAGTGTAAAACGTTTCACAGGTTGAAAGTTGTCATCATTTATGCAGATTCGCATCTGGAATTGGTTAAAATATAAGAATAGAGCTTGATAAGAAGATATGGAAGTGTGTCGATTGATTATAATCATTGATTAAACATACCGGAGTAGACAATCTCATCCAAATGTATCTACTGAAGATAGGGTTCTCTTCAATTTGAAATTAATAAAACGTTGGTTTGCGAAAAGCAAAATAGTGTTTTAATGCAGAACAGTCCGTGGAAGCTTTGGCTACTGAAACAGCAGTTTCCTGTGAAGTCTGTTGTAAACGGAATACCATCGCAGATCATTTCCTTTTATGTCTAGGTTAAGTTGTCTCCCTCAAAAATCTGAGGATAGAACTTGATGGGTCACTGTCAAGTTATGTCCTTTTTTTGTCGGTGTCAAGGTCGAAGTAGACAACTTGAAGTGGATCTAAATTTAAACCAGAGGAAATCTTTGATTTGAGTACTATCTGGTTTGGAAAATCTAAAGGATAACTTTAGGCTTTAGCGTAAGATAACCATGAGTTGAACAACTGTTCAACAATAAAACTTGTCTCTTTCCACGTCACTAACTCCTCCAACTGTTGTAGATCGCCCACCACCACCATCACATCCCAGTGCCAGTCTACACCCCGGTACACACCGCCCCCGGGGAGCTGCCCGCACCATACCCCGCCAGCTACGACGCCACGGGACCCGGTGTGTATCACAGTCGTACCGAGGCCCCAGGCAGTCTAGCGGACCTTGCGGCCTGGGGCCTGGGCGAGTACCCGTCCGCCTGGGACAACAACCTCCCAGCGGCGACCGACCCTCCGAGGTACAACTACCCTACACGACCTCAACAGGTTAGTACCTTGTGATCTTTTAAAATAAGTGTAACGAATAATGGCTAAACATACCCCGCCAGACAATCCTTAATGTACTGTAGTACCGTTTGAAACTTTCTACATATGTGGCGGTTTTTTATAACTCCGCGATCGTCAGGCTAGCAAAAGGATCCACTTTTTGAGGTTTCGTCAAAATAAGTATATACAGAATAACTAATTTCTCATAAAACACTAAAACTGCCTCCAGTCCTGTCCATGGCAATGTTCATTGTTCACGCGTGTAATTGATAGGCATATTATTAATAGTTTTTTGTGTTGTGTGTTTGATTTATTCAGACGACACTTTAATAAGTGGGTCCTTTAGTTACCTTGACGATGGTGGGGTTATAAATAATTTCCAATAAAATATGTTGCAAGTTTCAAACGAGAATCGTCCGACGAGATGTTTTAACCGTTATTTGTCATAAAACACAATCCTGGGACTATAAAAAAATTATAGTAAGTATAGCTGTGACTTATCGTGATCGAGAGGTCTTAGTGAATGATTAGCCGAAGCTGGTCTATTTTAAGACTCAGTAAAGCTTCTAGGACTCATCAGCCACTTCAGCCTTAAGCTGGTATACTGACAATTAAAGTCTTGGACAATTTATTACATAGCTGCTTTAATGGAGATTCGCAACGAGACGCAGTTGCAGAAGAGAACGATGTGTCTTTTAATCTACTGCTGACCTTAAACACAACATTCCTAATTTTATGGAAGTCTCAGAAAAGGTCTATCAAAACTTCAGCATGTACTAGAAAACCTTTAAGTTAGTTAATTAGTGGGGGAGTGTCAGAGAGACAATCAAAAAGGCTTACAAACTCTGACGGCTATGCGAGTTTAGTCGCCTAACCTCAACACTAAGTTAGAAAAGATTGAAATTAGTTGAAGAAAAGTACATTATACTAATGTCTGTTCAGCATTTTGTCTGCTTAAAAAATATTGCCAATAATTACTTGTTTGGAGCTAGGCTAAAAGTTGTCAAATTCGCACCCTCCCCCCTTTGACTATTAAGTCAATGGTATTACCTAACGATGTTGTTAGGTTATTTGCACAGATGATTCCATGATTCCACATTGGCTACAGAAGCTACTCAGCTGATTTGATTGATTCGTTACAAGCTTGGCTTCAGCCTCTAATATTGCTCACTTGGTCATCTTGTTCCGCCAAGTCACGACATAACGAGCGAAGATGAGAACATAACATGACAGCTGATGAGATGACTTGCAAATCATCGGTGATCTTTCGGTATCGCTCATTGCTTTCACACTGTCTCAATTGTCGCTGTGACTTGTTTGAGAATGGGACTGTTTGCTCCAGTTTTTATGAGTATCTTGATTAGGAAAGGATTTAATCCAAACAGACAACCCGTTTTAGTGTACAGTGTTAGCCAAAAGGAATTCATGCCTTTGGCAGCATTATCTGCATTTGGCTAGGCTAAATGCTAAATTAATGTATTCTCTAACCGATTCAGATGGCTTTGGCTATAGAAGGCTTGCGTCTACTTTTTGGGGGACGACTGGTCTAACTGTTCAGGATCGGAATTTTAAGGTTTAAAGTCACAAACAACCTTTAACTAGTTTGTAATTAGTCAGCCCACTAAGAACTAGATGTTCACCTCACGTGAAAACACATAGACAATGATAACTGCCTCTGCTTTGGAGATATCTATCAACGTGAAGCAATGCCGTAATTTGATAACTGAACAATACAATCATCGTATTTTACACTGCTATCCATCGCTAAGTACCTTGACCACAGACCCCCCCCCCCAAGCATTTGTATTTTAATAAATTCACTGATTAAAAGGCCCTTTTCAGAGGATGCCTTTAATTGCAATGCCTTTGTCGTTTCCATCATCATCCTGTTGCAAACGCCGTCACTAACCAGACTAACCCCCTTTTTAAGCATGAAAATGAAATGATCAAACTTCTTAACTATCTTAGCGTACTTTGTTTCTATTACAAGACAGAAACGACACATTGTGAAACGTTCTCTATTCGTAATAATCATATTAATAACGAGTACACGTCACTTTCGGTTTATTTTCATAATCAAAGCTCCATTGACGGAAGACCTTGATCAGACACAGCTGATCTACATAAGCCGACCACGTCTGCCATGCAATAACGAGTTGGTTGCTCCACTTCAGCCAAATTATTCGATGGAAGTCTGCCAAGAGGGGTTTGGTGACCTGGTATCCGGTTTTGCTAAATAGAAGCATCCTCACACTTCCTGACAAGAACGTCTTGTTGCAGATTGAAATTGAAACACCCTGTCTCCAGTCATTAGAAGAGTTCCGAAAGAAACTCTAGTTGAACCGGAACCACTTTTAGTTCTTTCCGTGACTCTGGAATAGTGGTAACCAAGTAATTTACGCTTGTTTCTCGCCATAATCCATTAGGTTGGCCACTGAACCACCGGCCAAAGCTTTCTAGCTCACATTCCTTTCTGTGGTGTCAATTGATGTTTTTCTACATCACAAATACAGGCCCAGCTTTATTTTCTCCACTTTGCGTAGTCTATAACAATATTGTGACGAATGGGTGACAGAATATGTGAGAAGAAGTCTGTCATCGACTCTTCTTCGTGATTCGGTTTAAAGTTCCTGAACAGACTCATGAGTAACACTCGTTCTTACAGCTATTTAATTATTCACCCAAACTGTCTATCTATCTTGGTATCTATTATGGTACTGTTTGTCTCTTATTTTAATTCATTCCTGATACTATTTTAGGACCCGTATTCCAAATCAAGAGAATAAAACTGAAAATCAAATACGAATTTACGCGTTATATAAAGTGGCATAATGCAAAGAATGTGCAAATCGTTGTTTCTTTTACAATACGTAGATGGTGAACTCCTCGAGAACTGTGTAAAACTTTCGCAAAATCGTCAACTGTTTGCAGACGGTTTATAATAAAACTCCGTAATTTAGTTTAGGGCATAATAATCAAATAGCCACTTAGCTGAAATTTCAAACCACCAACTACACAGGTAACTCCATTTTACAGATTTATCACCGTTATTTAAACTCAAATATTTAAATTTTTATTGTAACTACTTTACAAGCCGGTGAACCATAAATTTGAAACAGGAAACCAAAGGAAAGTGGGGGCTTCTTTTACCTCACTCACCAAATATTTGACTTGGCCTCCTTCAACTTTATATTGGCAGAGAAACGAGAAACCGTTGTGGACAGAGAAATAAATGTGAGAGCTAGAATAAGTCACGATTAGTAACCTAGCTCTAGCGGATACGTGCTTGAGAATTAGACTGAGAAAAGGATTTTATATTTTGATTGCCTTAGGGTAATATCAATCAAGAAAATTTTCTCTTTGCAAGATCAAATCTTCATCTTTATCATGATGGTCAGGTATATTACAAGACATTCGAATTTACGATTGAAAATAACATAAATTTAATCGGTATCGACCTGTAATAGTCAAAATGACGCACTCTTGTCAATCACCAGGTTTTTTCTTGGTAAAGGGAGAACAGTGATTAACTCGAAGTAATAACTCGAACGAGCTCCAATTTCCAACCGCATGTTTCAATAATGATACATTGCTGTCTTGTTTAGGATCAGATTGCTGTGAGGTTATTTTCTGATCGGAAACTGTTCAGGATCTCTGTTTGCCCTAGGTCAAACATAATTTTGTGATTTGCCAAATGAAGTGTGGAACTGACCTGGTTATGAAGGAAGTCGTAATTTGTCTTATTGGAGGAAAGTAAAATAATCTAATTGAGATCTGGAAAATTATGTACCACAAGATGGAAGGTGAACCCAGAAGAACCTGAACCCAAAAGTTTAGATTTACGCCGGTAGAAATGTAGTTCAAAACCATAGGGGTTGTAGGCTATATTTAGTTGAACAGTTGTATGAGTAGGTTAGTTTTTATGTTGTGCATATTTCAACAACTAAAGAGATTCGTAGACTTTAGCTCTCTGCTCTAGATTCCTCTCGTTTGTAGCAGGTGCGGAATAGAGAAGCAAAGTGAATGAGGAACCTCCTTGTTGAATTGTGGGAACTGCAACGGTAATGCGTGGGACAAGCTTATTGTGCTGTGATAGTAGTGGAAAAACTCAAGGTATTGAGGTAGGACTGAACTTGAGATACTGCTATACAAGTGGGATATGTTATGTTCATCTATGCGATAGGGACCATTTACTGCACTTGTAGCTTAACCTATGTTATGCAAGATACACTTTTAGGTTAGTGATTGGTGTAGTGTCGAGAGATTTATTCATTGAGTTGGAGTATGGAATAATTTTGAGTTTATTTATCAGGTGGCTAACTGTGTTCCTAGAGGTGTCAGCCAGAGCCTAAACTCTTCGCCGGTATCTTATCAACTTCAGCATCCTTCTATGATCGCTGCTTGAGTCTCTAAATCACCATGGTTTCAAGGGTGGTTTCAATGTTGAATTTTTCAATGTTACGTCAGTTAACTGCAGTCAAATAGCAAATTATATGCTGTCTCCGCAGACCGCAGACTGTCCACACGTCTTACATGCTATACTGTAGCGCTATCGATGATCGTAGGTGCTCAAAGGGTGCCTTTTTGACAGTCGTGTTGTCTGCGTCAGTTGTATCTTGTCTGACTGAAAGATTTCTGGTTACATTTAGCAAATATGAAGAAGCAATACAGTATTTCAATTGCAATCCACGTTTTCGAATTTTGTTGAGTTAATTAATACGGTGGTGAAGGTGAAACCGAAGGTGAGCTAAAAAAAGGTCTAAGGTAATTTGTTTCATATTGTCCGAAATATATGCCGATTTAAGTAGGATTTTATCCTATTGTATGTGAAATGCATTTGGATGTATTTCTATCTAAACACTTGAAATATTCGTTAAATAAATCGTTGATGTCGTGTGAGTCTTAAACTCTTAGTTTTCCTTGCCAGATTCGGCCGCTAAAAAAACGCATTCAGTTGGTCTCGAAAAACGCAATTGTATTCGGTAGTTAGAACCGCAGACTAAAGAGTATTATCCTCTTCAATCTGTGCTAGGGCATGGAACAGGGACGAAGTTGAATGAGACGGGGTTCTATATGGCTAAAGAGGACTCAATCCTAAAACAGCCTCAGTCCAGTAGGGTTTCAGCTCCCTGGACTGAAACGTCACGAAGAACGGATGGGGTTTTATCAACTGAGCCATGGTAAGTGTTATTACATTGGCAACGCTTGGGATATTTAATACATTAGTTGAATGATCGCGATGGCGGAGCTATCTGGGTCGCCGGAAGCCCAAGGAGAAAGTCGCAAGTCTGGGAGTTCCGCGTCGCTCGGTGACCACTGCCTCTTGGACGTGGACCTGTGTGACGTCCTGGCTGACCGATTGGCGGGAACTTGCCCTTAATCCGGCGGGATTTCCATGTGACATGCTCCGAGATCCGACACCGGGGGTATTCCGTAACCACCTGATGACCTATCTAGCTTAGAAAACTGTCAATATTGAATAGGCCCAGCAATATCCCCTTGACATTGCGTTATCCATCAATTATTCCAATGGTGATGTCTAAAAAAGGTCCATGTTGGATAGTAACACGACCAGGGTTTGGACAGTTTCCTCACATAAAAAATGTTGAAAACTCCAATGCAAAGATACAAACAAAATAATGCAACGATTTGGTGACCTCGCAAAATATGCTACAAAATGTCAATGTGATTAGTAGAATGGTTGGCTATCTTTGTGACTTACTCAAAAACTATTTTACTTAAAATATAGTGGTATGAATATGTGTGTATTTAGAAACCATAAAAATGTGTGTAAACCATCGAATTTAGCTTTTTGGATCAAAACTGGACCCAGCTACAGTTTGATTATTGTTGGCCTTTTAGTAAACGATTTTTGCCAAATAATCAGCGGGTCAGCTATCAAAGAAGCTATTTAAGTCACGCCATTTCATTTCAATTCCACCTTGTGTTCAAATACAGCATACAATGCTAACATTCGCATCGTTGCCTCTTGGTATTGATTAAGTGATTAGATTAAAAGACTAATTAACCCTTGTCACAGCAGCAAAGATAATGCCGAAATAGATAACAATAAACCATTTAATTCAAACAAACTTTTACTTTATAAGTAAGCACATCAACTACTAAAAACCTGAAAGTGTTAAAAAGCGTAAAAATTGATCGAGGTTCGGTTCGGTTTGAGCATATAAACACCATGACAGCATGTTTTACATGTTAAATCCGTCGTGGACAATGACGCCAACGCCTGGAGATGTTCACCACATTGTTGAGTGATTGACAGCTTCATGAGGTGAAAGCAGAGTTCGACAACAGTGCATTGTATAAACCCCTCTAGGCTTGTGTTGTAATGTGGCCTACATTGTGACAGGACTATTAGTTCCCATGATTGTTTCAAGGGGTTAGAACAGTATGATTTATTGTTAACTCGTCGTTTGTAGGTTGGATTTCCTATTGGTTTACATAGTGTGGTATTGTATTGATTAACAATTAGCCACCTCGTAGAAATGTCGTTTACTCATCGAATAATCGACTTTTGTATTGCCAAATGTTGTTTTCTGGAGCCACATGAACACTGTAGAAGTCTAATAGCTGACAGCAGCTAACAAAATCTTAGCTTACAAAAATTCAGCCCGTTGTTGCAACGTCTGGTGTACTTTTCAGTTATCCAAAAAGGTTGAGCCCGAATAAATTCTAGAACTTTAACATTTACAATAAAATCACTTTTAATTTTTTCCAGGTTGTAGCAGCAGCGACACCACAGTACGCGACGACTGCTAATCTCAAGCAGCTGTACGCCTCAGCACTAGCCGGTGGCGTCAGCAAGACTCAGCAACAGCAATACACGCAGCAGTACAACCAGGCGGTGACGTCACGTCTGCAGGCGCTGACGCCACGACCAACTGCGACGTCAGCGGCATCAGCAGTGTACGACCCGTTCTACTCGCCCATGCTGCAGAGGCTAGATGCGGTCTTCAGCAGTCTCGGGGTCGCTGACGAAGGCTGCAGAGAGAGAGTCGTCTGCAGCATGTACAAGAACCCGACGAGGTTTAGCCCGCACAGCAATCTCGTGTCGGCAGAGCTCAGCAGGTAAATGAGTGAGACAATCTCAGGAAATAGTCTAAGACAATATCAAGTGCTTGGTAGAGTATTAGTAATGCCAGACTTATCAACACAATTAGACTTCTCACCCCATTGTAAATTTTGAAGCTCGTGTTTGGTGTCTAGTTTATGTTGGTCACACTAATAGTTAGTGTCAACGAAATTTGGTTTCTATTTTTTTATTTCATTATTTGTGCTTTACAAACAGTAAAGGTTGTATAACTAGGGTACGAGTTATTGCTTATGATTAGTTTGTTTTATATTTGGTTAAACGAGGTTTTAAAGGACTGAAATAACAGGAAACAAATTGTAAACAAAACACGACCCCTACAGTACACCGGACGAAACTAACCACAGCCACCTCTAATACATAATGTGTATTAGAGGCGGCTGTGAACTAAGGCTGATCCATAAGGACGAGAAATCTACTTATAAGGGAGTTGTTAATCTATGGTGAAACTATTAGTTTCTGTTTAGTACATACATAGATAAAACATATCCTACTATGTCTATTTTCTGTCACATTACCTTCATTTACTCTTATTGAAAAGACAAGAGACCTATTATTGATCGTCTCCAACCGTCAGTCGTATTTAATTGACTCCGCAAAGTGTTGTTTACCGGTCGGCTCGTTGACCTCTCGACTGTAGATGGCGCGAGTCAAGTTTAGAAAGCAAGTTGCAATGCTGATATAAACCTGGAACGACCGGCTCCATGGTAAGTAAGCCGGCCGGCCTATAGGGGTCAGTAGGTTCAGCTGGTTATCAAACATTCCGCGAATAATACCGGAGATTTTTTTCTCACGATAAATGTGTACTACTGGCACTACTGGGAAATTGTATGAAATTATTTCTCTTAGAGGGTAACTTGCAGTTACTGAATATCTGTGTTTATACTTTTCACAACATCTAAAAGTTCAAAACTCGTAATATAATACATTTTTCCAGCAGTCACCTCTGACATAGTGGGAAGTGGGCTTCCTTGCACTGATTATAGTACAGAAATTGCTAATTGCTGCATTTACTTTACTTTTGCTGCACGCTTTTTTCCCCACACTATTTTTTTGCCGCACACCAGTATCCCAACCAAACAACACAAAACAGCGTGCTTCTATTATGCACGTAATCCGTTTACGCCTGGAAATAGGTTGGCAACACAAGATACTATATGACTACGATCAGCTGGTGCAGCGTTTCCTATTTCGTTCAACGCTTAGATTTAATCTAACCTAAATAAACGTGTTGATGAAAATGAAATGTACAGTATAACTAAAAATGTTCAAAAATGCCCATATATAATAATTTGTTTTATTCACAAGTGCGTTCGGAAACTACGTTTTTTTACTAAAACGTGTTGTTTACTGTTTGAAAGACTAATTATTTCTATGCTTTATAGTAACTGTAAGAAATATAACGAGTGCAAACTGCAAAGTGCCTTTGTTGCACTCGAGAAACTATCCACACTCGCTTGCGGCTCGGCTTGGCTCGTTCTCTCTCGTGTGAAGGAAAGTGATACTTTGTCCACCTTAGTTACACAAACAACTATATTTTTATTAATAACAATAATCTTTACATACAATATTGTTTTCTTGTAATATTTCTGGTTTAGTATGTAAAATTGTAAAACTATGGAAAAAGTTAACTTAATTTGACCATGAGCTAGCCAAATCAAAGCCACTTAATTGTTGTGTCGTTTCTGTCACTTTTCAACAAATTGTTAGCCTAAATATGTTTGTCAAGTAAGTTTCTCAATGTGTTAGCTATTTCAAGGTTGTAATTGCCATTGGGCTATCAATTAATAGCCATGATGAAGATTACAAGTTCACATTACCAAAAAAACTCTGGATCTCATCAATGAAATATCATTGTTTCATTATAACAATTATTGTTACTTAATTGGGAGGGCAAGCGATGACCTGTTGGTCTATGTAGCTCTGTTACTGACTAAGATCATTGTTTCGTTTGTCAGCCCTCTTTTTCAGTTTCAAACCATCAAAAGCTTTGAAATATTCTCTGGATCAAACTGGTAACCATTAGATTGTCCAGTGAACCTAAGCAGCACAAATGTGTACACAATTCGTTTTCAATTAAACTGTTTCTTTCTGAATCATAGGCAATCACTATCACCATCACCCATATTACTGTAACAGTTGGTAGAAGATCTCACAATAATCTTTGTTTTTCCAGGGACCCCTCCGAGCTTCAGAAGCCTTTGACAGCCAACAATGCTGTGGTGAGGTTCTACCGCTACCTTCAGGCAGCACGAGATGGTCAAGAGCACAAGGAATGTTTGAGGCTCTACCCAGCATGTTCAGTTGCCACAGAGTAAACCTACGCCTAGACATGGAGAAACCATGGGAAATTTACGCTGATCTTTCAGCGTAAAAATCAAGCTGATGAGCCAAGGATTGTCTTAAGCTCTAAATTCAGTGTTGTGTCTCAATAGAAAAAAAACCTGCATATACAGATAGACAAAATGATCCGAAATGGAGCTGAAAATCGTTCAATGTAAACACCACCCTAAGCTCTTCAATCTGTAATGTTTCGATTAGGCAAATCTAGATCCAAAACTAACGTAAAAAGTAGAAGTTATAAATGGCGCCTACAAAGCTAAATATTTTACATAAAATTTCAAACTGCACCCTTGAACTTTTGTAAATTCTCACTCTGTTACTGTTTAGCGTTTCCAAAGACTATACCTACCTACATCTACATACATAGAGTAAGAACTTGCAGGTGAATTACTTCGAAGATGAATACTCACTGTAAACTAGGCTGCATCCATACTTTGACCAAAAAGGTCTGAAGTTGTATAAAAAGACTTGCAGAATCTTTTTGATGTAAATATTTCTTGAATTGAGCGAGATACAGATGACCTACTTAAACAGTTAGTCTTCTGTAGCCTTGAAATCAAAGTGTGGAGACAGAATGGTAGAGTTTTTATTCCATGTCAAAACTGTTTAATCTATAACTATGATTACCAAACCTTAAATTAGTACCTATTTCATCAATGTGTTGTAAAATCTTTGTATTACACGCATTATTAATCGATGTTGCAATAACAGTACTACTTTTAAAGCAATTTTTCTTTTTCAAATTTAATTTACATTGATCAAAATGCGTTTATACTCAAGCAAAGTAGAGTAAGAATAAAATAATCATAGAGTGCACTTCAATTTAACTGTCAGTAATATTCCCACCTTTGTACATGCATCTTCCTCTAAACAGCAGTAAGAATACTTGCTGCAATACATGATCTAAAAAGATTTATGTACACTGTAAATAAAACTTACCATAAAGTTTAGTCAATAAGGTTTAAACCTGTTAAGCTATTTATTGTTCGAAATTATCTTAGAGTTAGTTTGTAAATACAGTGTGATTGTGTATTTATTGTGTGAGAGAGAATAAAGTTGTTAAAGAGACTTATCTAGTTTCGTTTCCGTTTAGTGGTCTAATTGAGAGGGTAGAGGATCATTGTTTCTGTTGGAAGCAGTTTATTTGCACCCAATTAATTGTATACTTCAAAGTCAAATCACAAGGTTCCTTCACTAAAATGTAAAATAACCGGTGTCAACAATCCGACACAGACTCTTTTTCCATTATCTTGTCAACAACCCTTATCATAGGTGGGAGTAACTATGATATTTAATGGGGAAAATCACAGGGGCTGCAATTACTTTTACATTAATAGGGGCTGTGCCATTCTGTTTAAAGTTAAAACTTAAAAGACTATAATAAACCAATTATACATAAGTGAAACTTTTTTTCACACCATGGATTAATACAAAATTTCATTAAAATCGGACCACAGGAGGGTATTGTCTGAAGCTCAATTCACATCCACACACACATAGAAATCACTCCAAAAAAACACTTTTATGATGATGACAATTGCCCAAATATATCCACACACAACCCAATCTAAAACATTTTGTCAAAAACAATACCTTTTTTCATATATACCCTTCTTTTTGTGGGAATAAGTGCAAAGTGGGGAAGTGCTTACTACTATATACACGTGAAAATCACGTGAATATAACAAGTAAATATAACAATCAAAAAGTTAAATTAAAATTGTCATCACGTGAAAATTATAATGTTTGACAAGTGTAAAATTTAATGTCATAATGAAAAGTATAAGTAGAAAACAAAAAAGCCTAATTAGTTTATTTTACCTATAAAGCTTCTTTAATTAAGAAAGCTTCTTTTTTAATTACTTAGGAATATTTAATTAATACAAATTTTACTTTAAAAAAATGTAGCAATGATTTTTTGAGGTTGTCTAAAAGTAAACAACCAAAATCTGAAAAATGGTTTTCTGTTGGCTGTAACAAGTCTTCTAATTACCCGTGAAAGTAGAAGGATATTATATCAGAGGGGTAAGCTTAGATATGACTGGACTTCAATAGGTAAAGGCCAAGCACAAGCAGTCAAGTCTATGTCTAATATACCTACGTATAGTTATCGTAACTTTACCTTTGTAAAGGTCTAGGCAACCACTGTATTTATATAGGATAGGCAACGGGTTTTTCAAAATTTTAAATTAAAGAATTCCTGTTTTTTTTATGCAGGTTCTATTTTCAATAATGAAGGTTTTTTTAACTGTATTTAAACCAATATTTTATGCAAAACTAATGGCTATAAGGAAGATTAAAAGAAACAACCTGCTTGGAATAATTCAGTTGACTTACAGTAATTAGGTATGCGAATGCGATGCTATGCTATGACAGCCGCAGGTAGCTAGCACTCTCCAAACCCTTCAAATGAGGATTTGCCGCTCTGTTCAACCTGACATTTTGACAAAACTGAGCGCGATAGAAAAAAGGTTGAATACAAACAGTGAACTTTTCCCAACTTAAATAAATTATTTTTGCAAATATTATTAATGCTTTGTATTTACCCATGTTTACTTTAAATTTTAGTATTTTAATGTTTTTTGTAACTTTACTCATTGATCCCCAAAACTTAGGTTTAATGTCAAAATTTGAAAGTTTTTACGAGCTCCATGTTATTCTTATGGAGAATAACGTTGAAATTTAATGACTTTGGTAAGGTCATCTGAGTCGTTTGGAAGCGTGCTAAGACTTGAAATTTGGTATTATTGTAGTATGGGACCCTAAGTTAATGGTGAAATTTGTAAAAGTCCAATTTTAACCCTCCCAAAAATCCAAAATGGCGGACATATAAAAACGACAAATCAGGTTTTTTTTAAACGGCTATAGCTTAAAAAAGATAAGAGCTATCCAAGATTTAAATGCATTTTTATGTTCAGGAATTAAATTGTCTACAAACCCCTTTCGTGAGTTTTCAAAAAATGTCACCCCTACCCCCCTAAAAAAAAAACGCCCTACTTTCAAAAACTGTTAAATATATTTCAAATTTTTAATAATATTCGCTATTGTTTCCTACCTAAGTAATTGTTTTAAAGATATTATTAATGCTTTGTATTTTCCTTACTTTGCTTTAAATTTTACTCTCTACATGTTTTTTCATAACTTTACTCCTTGACTACCAAAATTTAGGTGTAATGTCAGAATTACAGATGTATTGCTACTGGCTGATGTGTTTGTGACCTTTTGAGACCTGCGTTTAAAGGATTATAAACTCGGATATAATTGTTGTAATATATGAGTATTACTATTTAGTTTGGTTATTCTTAATGGATATATACATTTATCATCTTCAACCCCAAATATATTAATACTTATATTATTTTGTCTTTCAAAATTATCTATACCAGATATTTTCACAGGATACTTTATGTTTGTCATATTCAACTGACTTTCATAGCGTGCATAGTTAGAGACTCTTAGCATTTTCATTTTTAGCATATAAAGCTGCTAAAATTGACCTAAGGACGCATTTATCGTCTGAATTTTTTATATTTAAAACTGTATGATTCGATGTAATACTTTCTAGCGTGGGGATGCATGACTTTGGAGTAAGGGGCTTATAGTTGTAAACATGCAGCTGCCAATATTTAGTATGGTCATATATCCATCAACTGCCATGGGTTTGAGGGGATATTTGTGCATGGATGTGTCAATCTTCAAAAGAGCATTTTCAATTTGGGGTTTTAAATCTCTTTTGTCAATGGTTAGGAAGGTAAGGCTTCTAAAATCTGCAATACATTATTTTTAATTAAAAAATTTTCCATTTTGATACATTGAATATTTTATAACTTTGATTCTCCTAATTTAAGTCCATTTCTTTGACAGAGGACAAGACTGAAGAGTATTTTTAAGCTCAGTTTTAATCGATTCACCGAAAAATGTAATCATTGTATATGGACAATTAATTGTTGCAAGAATTGATGTCTTTTAAAATGGCCAACATTTTTTTACAAAAATTACAAGTCTAGTGAATTTGTAATATATGCGATTTAAGAGCCATGTTGCTATCACAGATTAAATCACAAACTTTGCACAGTTTCACCTTCATTTGATGTATTAACTTGTAGTAGCGAATCAGGTTGGTTTTGTTGGAGAGGGACACAGAGCAGTGTTGACATGACGGCTTCATGTTTAGGTATGAGGTCTTGGGTTAATGTCACCTCTATATATACACTCGGAAACTTTTTTGGAAAATTAAAAAAAATTACCAGAAATTAGGAAATTTTAACATAAATTTAAGAAAGTTTTAACTAGAAATTAAGAATTTTAGAAATTACTTCAACAAGAGATGAAGTTTGTAAAATGAATTTGGGGAGGTTGCCCACCCAGAACTCGATCAAGAGCTACCACTGGAGACAAGAAGCAAGTCTAAGAGAGTGGCATTACACCGCGTCAACACTGGAGACGAGAAGCAAAAAGCGAGGAGCATGCCAATGCCCGCGGGCCGGGAGCAAACTACTTAAGTTCTAGTGCAAATTTCGCACTGTCAAGTTGATGATTTTGAAATATACATGGGAATGGATAGGGATTTCAAATGTTTATGGAGTTGGACAATAGAATAGAACATTTATATAGGGGTTCATAGGCCGTAGGCAGGATTTTTAAAAAAGTGGCTGAAAAAGCCCACCATGTTATTCTTATGGGAAAAAAATGCTCAAAGTGACGTCGTTGTTATTTCGTCACCATCATGGCAACCCGTAAGGTCCAAGTTATTTTTTTATTAAAATTACATTTACACGAAACGACGGTTTTTTAATGCCATGGACGATTTTAATCTTCGTAAATAGCTTAAAGTAATTATTTTAGAGCCTATTTTAATTTATGAAGGAACTAGCTGTTGTACCCGTGCTTTGCAACGGGAAGAGGACACGAAATAGAAACATTTTGATCTTTAATCTGTTGATAAAACAGTTTTGCATTTGCCCGTCCACATAGACTACAGATCTGTGCGTGGAACGTATCCAGCAAAGCAAGGGGTGAGCCGGTACAGTACGAAGGTGAACTGTACTGATAAATTTTAGTGGCAGTGACCAGGATCCGAATCCACGACATCGCTGCCTTTACTTGGGCCCGAAGTCGGTGACGCTACCAACTGAGCCACCAACTCACCACAAAAGTTACACCTACAGTCAACGGTTACACATAAGCCAACACTTTTAGAAACAAAATTTAACCTTTATGGCCTTTATAGGACATTTAAGGCTTTTTGATCTGGTAAGTAGTGGGTGTCGCTATTTTGGTATTGATTAATTTAAAATCTTGTCTAGGCTGTTATGTTTTCAAATTCATGATTTACCTTTATCTCCCCTATTTACATATTTTTTCTTTATTTTCTACATTTTAAATTTCAATCTTGAGTTTGCAAAACTACTAATTAGTAAATTTAAATGGAAAATTTTTTATGTCAATATTCTTTTAATTAAATCTCAAACTATTCTATCTCACTCACAATAAATCATTAGCAACACTAACATAAGCTGTTATAAACTTAAAGTATTGTTGTACCTTATCAATTGTCTTTTGAAATGTTAAAGAAACTATATCCATCCTATAAAAAGTTGTTAATTATTAATTTAGCATGAAAGACGGCAGACAAAACTAATATGATTATCAAAATATCAAGGACTAAAAGGTAGTAGATAAGCTTATAAATAAAGATTATAAATACAATGTATAATAGTAAATAAACCCATTGCTGACTTTGTGTCATTGCATCTCAGTTTCTACTCTACAAAAATATCATCTAAAAACATAATATACAAACCAGTTCTTTTAATCATTTCTATAGTCCATTGCCTTTACATTTATACACTTACCTTTGATTAAGTAAACATATCAACATATATTTCATTGATTTTAGAAACATAAGAATACTGTGTACATAGGTGTGCTATTCCCGTCATATTCTGACGTCACTCAGATTGCAAACACCATTTTACCATTTAGAAAAATTATAAAAACAACTAGCTGTTGTACCCGTGAAGAGGACACAAAATAGAAACATTTTAATCTTTACATCTGTTGCAAATAATAGTTACACATCCGCCAACGCGTTTAGAAACAAAATTCAACTTTTATGGCATTAATAGAAACGTTTAAGTTATGACTTTTAATTCTGGTAAGTAGTGGATACCACCATTTTGGTTTTGATTAATTAAATCTTGTGTAGGCTGATATGAGCAAACTGACCAAATCTTAGAATAAAACTTTCACATACGGTTTACCTTCATCTCCCATAATCACATATCTTTTTATTTATACTTGACATTTTAAATTTCAATTTTGAAGTTGCAAAAATACTAATTATTAAATGTAAATGAACATTTTGTTTTATTTCACTGTTCTTTATATTTTAAATCACAAATCCTTCCATCTTCAGTTTCTTCACTCACAATAAATCATTTGCAAACCGAAGTCAGCTGTTATAAACATTAGAAATATTGATGTGCCTTATCAATAGTCTTTTGAAATATTAAAGAAATATATATATATATATATATATACAAAAAAATTTCAAACAAATAATTTTACATAAAAGATTACAGGCAAAACTAATATGTTTATCAAAGCATCGGCACATAAAACGTACTACTATAACCCAGAATGCCAACCGCATGGTAAAAAGCATTAAGCGGTTTGAGAGAGCTTTGCCTGTCAATCGTAAGCAGCGCCACCAGCGTTGCCATGCAATAGCATAGCAACGCTGGTGGCGCTGCCTACGGATTGACAGGCAAAGCTCTCTCAAACCGCTTAATGCTTTTTACCATGCGGTTGGCATTCTGGGTTATAGTAGTACGTTTTCTGTGGCATCGGAGACTAAAAAATGTAATAGTAAATACAGTATATGTTTAATTGCATCTCTGATTCTACACTACAAAAATATCATTAAACAATTATTTAATATACAGACCAGTTCTTTTAATCAGTTCCATCGTCCATTGCCTTTAAATTTTCACACTTACCATTAAGTAAACATAGTAACAGATATTTAATTGATTTTAGAAACAAAAGAACCCTGTGTACTGCTTAGTTTTATGCTATTTTCATTGGTTTAATTTAATCAGTGGTGTGGCAAAACACAAATAATAAATTTATCAAATAAAGTAAATGTTAACTGAAAGCTATGTTAGGATAAAATAAGAGTATTTTGTATTGCCATTTGATAATTAAATACAGTTACACATATACAACAGATTTTAGAACACTAAAATCAATGACGTACAATTAAGTTATTGATGATATTCTTTAGTTTAATTTAAACATAGGTTTAGCAAAACACAATAACTAAATTTACCTAAAAAAACAATGTGATGTGCAAGTTATGTTAAGTTAATCTAACACATAATAAGCAGTTCAAATTTATTTAAGGTAGCCTCCAAATTCATACAAAACATCTACCTATACATTGTAATTTTCATACTGTTTCCATGAAAACATATCAATAACATTATTTTCATTCATAACTTAGACGCTTTAAAAAATCCAAAGCAGAGCCGGAGTTGATACAGCAACTGTTATAGAATCTTTTTTTTCTATAATCATTGACTTAGTTTTAGAATAAATAATCCACGATAAAACGTTAGATTAAAATAAAACTGCCTCATAGTTATGGTAATTATATTTAACTTCTTTGAATCAGCTGTCTGAAATTGTGAAATAAGCAATTTAGCAGTTCTTCTTGTTTACATTGAAATGTCAAAGCCAATGTAAACAAACATTATTAGTGTTCTAATCGCAGCCATGGAGACCAATCAATATTTACTTTTAAAATCCTCACCTCAGAACTTTTAAAGCCAAAGGGGCAAATCCTACAGTCAGTATCGAAATGTGAATAATCATATAATGGTCCTTGGTATGATAGCTATATTTCTGTAAAATTTAAGCCCAGTTTGTTCAGTAGTTTTTGCACCTATTAGTAATACACATACAGACAGACACCATTAGATTTTTATATAATAGTATAGAATATAGAATGGATAACAATCAAATCAAAACAAATATATACTTATATGGCAATACATCAGCTGATTTTTTGTTTGCAATCTAGGTGACATCAGCAAATGACGGGAATAGCAAACCTATGTATTTTCCTTCCACCATGACTGTGTACAGCTTAGTGTTATCAGGGCCGCGTTAAGGGTCAGTGGCGCCCTGGGCAAACCCTAAAGCAGCGCCCCCCTTATATATATAACTATACAGGTTTTGACCATAGCAGTGTAGGGAGGGGGGCTGACTCGTCAGTTCGTAGAAATTCACAGCAGGTGGGTTGGGGGTTGGGGTGAGTGCAATGGACTTGATTTTGATGTAGTAACACTTCGGCCCAGTAACATTTCGGCCAAACTCAAATTTCTTAGAAAAACAGTATCACTTCGTCCCACTCGCTTTTACAGATGATTAAATAAACTAATGGAGTAACATTTCGGCCCGACGAAAAATTGACAAGGGTTGAGGAACGCGGTTCAGGTAGTAAGAGGTACATGACCTGTATACTTTGCAACCACCTTCTGGTGGAATGTTGCCCAACCGTCACTCCTTGCATCCTCTGACCTCACATGACGGAGAATCGGTGGAATCTTACAGTGGTAGCAAAACGGGAGTGCCGATGGAGACCTGTGGGGGTGCGTGCGTTTAAAGGGACTTGACCTGGTCTCCATCGGCACTCCCGTTTTGCTACCACTATACCTAACCTAACCTAACCTAACCTGTCAAATATTTTGTTGGGACGAAGTGTTACTAGTGGGCAGGTAGAGAGTTGGACCGTAGGCCACATCTGAGGGTTTCGGGCCGAAATGTTACTGGGCCGAAGTGTTACTTGGGCCAAAGTGTTACGACACGGACAGTAGTTGCTATGCGAATGCCTCTTGCCCTACGCCAGTAGCTTATTGCACTACGCAGTGATTTGATTACTGTTCAGTACAGTACAGTGTGCAGTTTATTGCATTACACATGTATTGAACGAGATTCTACTAAGGGAGTATGTTTTTTTCCATGGTTCTACTATAGGCCTATGCATATATATATTTATACATTAGCGTGTTTTTTTACCAGTTTTGTTTTGGGAGGGAGTTTTCAATTCCGTATCAGTGGAAATACTGGTTAATACATTTCACTTTCTTTAAAACTGCTTCTTGAGTTTGTTTTCTTTGAGCCAACCGCTTGCGGCTCTCGGCTCCACTAGGTTTTTTTTATGCATTTTTCACTGTTTATAGGCCTACTTACTTGTATCAACACTTCTCTATTTATTTATTACTGGTTCACTAACTGCAGTTTGAGTGTCAACACTGACTAGTGACTGTCACAGTTTAGGTTGTGTTGTGACTGATTTGACGACTGTGCAGCAGGCACAACACGAACACAACCTACTGACTACTGAGGAGTACTGGACTGGACTTGGACTGGCGCCGCGCGGTAGTTGGTAGTTGTGACTTGTGGGGATGGGTGTGGGACTGGGAGGGAGAGGAGGGGCAAGTCAACCGTAGGCCCTTAGGGGCCCTTAGACTACAGCTGGCCTACATGCTATTCCCGTAATTTGCTGACATCACCCAAATTGCAAACAAAAATCAGCTGATGTATTGCCATATAAGTATATATTTGTTTTGATTTGATTGTTATTGTTTTTACAATTTTTCTCAATGGTAAAATGGTGTTTGCAATCTGAGTGACGTCAGCATATGACGGGAATTAGCACACCTAAGTGCTAATTCCTTCCACCATCTGATAGTATAGTGAGTGCGCCCGGTTCACACTGCTGCCTGCCTTTCCCTGACTACATGAGGTATAACCTGAAAGTCAAGTATTTTCAATTTTGTTGTATTTATTTACTTTTACAATAGGGGAAAATCACTTAACTACAAGTTGAAATCACCCATTATATTTTTGAAATCCCCGGCTGATAAAACCATATTTTTCCTAGTGCGTGCGGTGGTTCAGGGCACCCCCCAACCACCGGCGCCCCTGGGCATATGCCCAGTCTGCCCGTTTATAAAAGTGGGCCTGAGTGTTATGACATTTTCCCTTGTTTATTGGCTTAATTTAATCAGCGGTGTAGCAACACACAAATAATAAATTTATCAAAATGTAATAAAGTAATTCTAAACTGCAAGCTATGTTAAGATAAATTTAGAGTATTTGGTATTACCATTTTATTATTAAATATAGTTACAAATCTACAACGGATTCTAAAACAAAAAAATATCTGTGTACAATTTAGTTATTTATGGTACTCTTAAGTTTAATTTAAGCATAGGTGTAACAAAACACAGTTACTAAATTAACCTACATGTAAACAAGTAAATGAAGGGTAAGTTATGTTACGTTAATGACACAAGTTAATTAGTTGAATTCAAAAGAATTCTAAAAAAATCATAGGCTACAAAGCATCTATACATTGTAATGTTTATACTGGTTCCATGAAAATATATCAATCACATTATTTCCATGACTTAAGACATTAAAAAAAATTTAAAGCAGAGACTGGGTTGATACTGCAACAGACATAGAACCTTTTTTATATTTCTATAACCATTGAAATAGTTTAGAAAAACATAATCCATGATCAAGTTTTACATTAATTGAGCCTACCCCATAGTTGTGTTAAATATTATAATTATTTTCTTTGGATCAGCTGACTAAAATTGTGAAATAAGCGATTTGGCAGTTTTTCTGACGAGACTCTCCCGATCGTAACACCACCCTCCACCGCACCATGCCGTACGCTTCCGAATCATACCGGCGCATCAGCATAGCCTAACTGTTACGGCAAATTGTTATCTCTATCACTGTGACTGTTAAAAAGTATCGTTTGTAGGTTAAATTAAAATTAAATATAATTAAACTGTCATAACCTAACCAAACTAACCAAACTTGCTGATAATTAAAAATTCGAATGAAAGTTGAATAATCGAAAAAATAGTTCTGTTCTAAAAATAAAATTATAAATGTCTCAAATTCAATTTTATAATTATAAAATTAAACTGTCATAACCTAACCAAGCCAACCAAACTTGCTGATATGAAAAAAATTGTTGATAAAAAGTAAGTGCTACCAGCGAGATTCGAAACCGGCACCTTCGGATTATCAGCCCGACACGCTATCCTCTTTGACACCACCAAAGCTCATGGCTTGCGGTAATGGTGTTCCCTCAAGAGAAGAGACTGACGTCACGCCATCGGCACGGCGCGGTGGTGGGTGGGTGTTACGATCGGGAGATGTTTTAGTTTTTCTGGTTTGAATTAAAAGATCAAAGCAAATTTAAACGTTGTGATTGTTTTCATTACAACCATGGAGACCAATCAATATTTTTACTTTTAAAATCCTCACCTCATAACATTATTTTATTTCAATGAACCAAACCACATAGATATTCGTTATTAGTAATTTATTATTGAAATTCACTATTTTTCCACAGAGTTTTGTTTTGAGTTGGTTCAAATTAGATGTTGTCATAAATGTAAAAAAATTATAGTATTGCACCCTGTTGGTAAACCTTAACTTTTTAATGGTATTTAATATCATTGAACCAACTTGTGTAGTTGAAACAGCTGATACAATTATTTCATTCCTTTTAAATATGATTACTCATTAAGTTAACATGGCAAACTCCAGAGCCACTGGAGCGGAGCCCGAAATGGCTTTTGAGATAAGAATGCAGCTATATGTTAATCGGGAATGTGACCTATCATCACACCAAATTTCAGCCCAATCCGACCAGTATTTTTTGCGTTTCCTTGTCACAAACATTCTCATTTATAATATTAGTAGGATTCTGCACGTCTACAGGAAAATACCTGTCTTACAATATGCGTAGATTTTATTATTCGTTAGATTAGGTTAGGTTACAGACGAAGAAAGCTAAAAGTTTAATGAGATACTGTAGTGAAAAAAATAGGCGTACATTCTATGAAAAAGACACTTATTTACAGTCATTAAGGGGCCCTCCACATATTATGTAACACAATTATAAGGTCTCTCTCCCATATGAACTAATACATGTTACTTCATACCACCTTTGGATGTAAAGGATTTTTCACATTAAGAGCACTTATAAGGTCTCTCTCCTGTATGAACCAATGAATGTTTCTTCATATTGCTTTTGGTTGTAAAGGATTTTCCACATGTAGAACACTTATAAGAAGGTCTATCTCCTGTATGAGCCAATGAATGTCTCTTCATATCGCCTTTGGATTTAAAGGATTTTCCACATGTAGAACACTTAAAAGGTCTCTCCCCTGTGTGAATCAATGCATGTGTCTTCATCGTGGTGTTAGATGTAAAGGTTTTTCCACATGTAGAACACTTGTAAGGTCTCTCTCCCGTATGAACCAATAAATGTAGCTTCATATGGCCTTTGGTTTTAAAGGATTTTCCACATGTAGAACACTTGTAAGGTCCCTGTCCTGTATGACCTAGTGTGTGTGTCTTCATATAGTATTTGGATGTAAAGGATTTTTCACATTTAGAGCACTTATAAGGTCTCTCTCCTGTATGAACCAATGAATGTTTCTTCATATTGCTTTTGGTTGTAAAGGATTTTCCACATGTAGAACACTTATGAGAAGGTCTATCTCCCGTATGAGCCAATGAATGTCTCTTCATATCGCCTTTAGATGTAAAGGATTTTTCACATGTAGAGCACTTGTAAGAAGGTCTATCTCCTGTATGAACCAATGAATGTTTCTTCATATTGCCTTTGTTTGTAAAGAATTTTCCACATGTAGAACACTTGTAAGGTCTCTCTCCTGTATGAACCAATGAATGTCTCTTCATATCGCCTTTGAATGTAAAGGATTTTTCACATGTAGAGCACTTGTAAGGCCTCTCTTCTGTATGACACAATGAATGCATCTTCATAGCGGCTTTGGATTTATAGGATTTTCCACATGTAGAGCAATTGTAAGGTCTCTCTTCTGTATGAACCAATGAGTGTCTCTTCATGTCACCTTTGGATGTAAAGGATGATCCACATGTAAGACAATTATAAGGTCTCTCTCCCGTATGAACCAATGAATGTAGCTTCATATGGCTTTTGCATGTAAAGGATTTTCCACATGTAGAGCACTTAAAAGGTCTCTCCCCTGTATGAGTCAATGCATGTGTCTTCATCGCGGTGTTAGATGAATAGGTTTTTCCACATGTAGAGCACTTGTAAGGTCTCTCTCCTGTATGAACTAGTGTGTGTTTCTTCATATCGCCTTTGTATGTACAGGATTTTCCACATGTAGAACAAATATACGGTCTCTCTCCCGTATGAACCAATAAATGTAGCTTCATATGGCTTTTGGTTTTAAAGGATTTTCCACATGTAGAGCACTTGTAAGGTCCCTGTCCTGTATGAACTAGTGTGTGTGTCTTCATATAGTATTTGGATGTAAAGGATTTTCCACATGTTGGGCACTTATAATGATCTTTCCCAAAATGTATCATCAAATGTGTTTTTACATGTTGTTTTCGGAAAAAGGTTTTTCCACATGCCAAACATTTAAAGGGACGCTCTCCGGTGTGATATAATATATGAGCCTTCATTGCGGATTGACTTGAACAACTTTGCACACATATTGGACACTTAAGAGGAAAATTTTTGAAGCAAGTTAACATTTCTATTCTTGCACTTTTTATTTCTATAAATCTTATCACATAAGCTAGTAACTAATTAGAAAAGGTCATAGATTCTTACGTAACTAAAAAGTATGCCTTTTTAAGTGGCTAGTAGTTACATGATGCTACCTCTCTCACTCGACATTGAATCACCTCATAGTCAAATCTTGCAATGCATATTAGGTATTTTACAATATACTTGAGGGGTTTTCCTTTTTCTCTTGTCTTCTTTATTCTTCTTTTGTATTAAATAACTTCTTAAATCGATTTAATCTGTTGCTTTAATTCTTTTTTTGTCTCGACCTAAAACAAAAATGTTTATTGAAACTCAAATTCTAGTTCAACAAAACAAATTGTTGAATTTAACTTGTGTAGGAAAACATAGCATTTGGAGTGGTTCTTCAAAGTCATCAGGGATTATATCAATTAATTAGTTTTTAAATTCATTTTACGTAATTATTTTTGAGCCTAATTTAATTTATGGAGGTGTTCTTCACATCTACAGTAAATACCTTTCTAACAGTATGCGTACATTTTAGTATGCGTTAGGTTAGGTTAGGTTACAGACGAAGATGACTAAAAGTTTAATGAAATGTTGAAAAAATAGAAGTATAATCTATGAAAAAAGACACTTATTTGCAGTCACTAAGGGGCTTTCCGCATATTATGTAAAACAATTATAAGGGCTCTCTCCCGTGTGAACCAATAAATGTTTCTTCATATCGCCTTTGGATGTAAAGGATTTTTCATATGTACAGCACTTATAAAGTTTCTCTCCTGTATGAACCAATAAATGATTCTTCATATTGCCTTTGGATGTAAAGGATTTTTCACATGTTCAGCACTTATAAGGTTTCTCTTCTTTATGAACCAATAAATGTTTCTTCATATCACCTTTGGATGTAAAAGATTTCTCACATGTACAGCACTTATAAAGTTTCTCTCCTGTATGAACCAATAAATGATTCTTCATATTGCCTTTGGATGTAAAGTATTTTTCACATGTTCAGCACTTTTTTTCTCCCGTATGAACCAATAAATGTTTCTTCATATCGCCTTTGGATTTATAGGATTTTCCGCATGTAGAGCACTTGTAAGGCCTCTCTTCTGAATGTACTAATAAATGTTTCTTCATATTGCCCTTGGATTTAAAGGATTTTTCACATGTAGAGCACTTGTAAGAAGGTCTATCTCCTGTATGAACCAATGAATGTTTCTTCATATTGCCTTTGTTTGTAAAGAATTTTCCACATGTAGAACACTTGTAAGATCTCTCTCCTGTATGAACCAATGAATGTCTCTTCATATCGCCTTTGAATGTAAAGGATTTTTCACATGTAGAGCACTTGTAAGGCCTCTCTTCTGTATGACACAATGAATGCATCTTCATAGCGGCTTTGGATTTATAGGATTTTCCACATGTAGAGCAATTGTAAGGTCTCTCTTCTGTATGAACCAATGAGTGTCTCTTCATGTCACCTTTGGATGTAAAGGATGATCCACATGTAAAACAATTATAAGGTCTCTCTCCCGTATGAACCAATGAATGTAGCTTCATATGGCTTTTGCATGTAAAGGATTTTCCACATGTAGAGCACTTAAAAGGTCTCTCCCCTGTATGAGTCAATGCATGTTTCTTCATCGCGGTGTTAGATAAATAGGTTTTTCCACATGTAGAGCACTTGTAAGGTCTCTCTCCTGTATGAACTAGTGTGTGTTTCTTCATATCGCCTTTGTATGTACAGGATTTTCCACATGTAGAACAAATATAAGGTCTCTCTCCCGTATGAACCAATAAATGTAGCTTCATATAGCTTTTGGTTTTAAAGGATTTTCCACATGTAGAGCACTTGTAAGGTCCCTGTCCTGTATGAACTAGTGTGTGTGTCTTCATATAGTATTTGGATGTAAAGGATTTTCCACATGTTGGGCACTTATAATGATCTTTCCCAAAATGTATCATCAAATGTGTTTTTACATGTTGTTTTCGGAAAAAGGTTTTTCCACATGCCAAACATTTAAAGGGACGCTCTCCGGTGTGATATAATATATGGGCCTTCATTGCGGATTGACTTGAACAACTTTGCACACATATTGGACACTTAAGAGGAAAATTTTTGAAGCAAGTTAACATTTCTATTCTTGCACTTTTTATTTCTATAAATCTTATCACATTAGCTAGTAACTAATTAGAAAAGGTCATAGATTCTTACGTAACTAAAAAGTATGCCTTTTTAAGTGGCTAGTAGTTACATGATGCTACCTCTCTCACTCGACATTGAATCACCTCATAGTCAAATCTTGCAATGCATATTAGGTTCTTACAATATACTTGAGGGATTTTCCTTTTTCTCTTGTCTTCTTTATTCTTCTTTTGTATTAAATAACTTCTTAAATCGATTTAATCTGTTGCTTTAATTCTTTTTTTGTCTCGACCTAAAACAAAAATGTTTATTGAAACTCAAATTCTAGTTCAACAAAACAAATTGTTGAATTTAACTTGTGTAGGAAAACATAGCATTTGGAGTGGTTCTTCAAAGTATTACATCAGGGATTATATCAAAGTGTCCCGAACGAATTAACTGACCTGACGATTGTAGAACAAATGTTGATTGCATGAGTACATCCTGCTATGCCCATTTACAGAGTACAAGCAAATGGTCAGGATGGCCAGTTTCACTACAAAGGTACAGTATAAACTATCAGATAAATTTGTCATTCTTTAGAATTTAAATAATATCGGGCAAACAAACTGTGAATCTGTTGAAAGGGAACATATTGAAGGGTGTTAGCTGCTTTAGCCATTGACAATCTTTAAATAATGCTTCGCTCATTTATGCGTCTAAAGTGTAACGGCAGACCACCCTAGTATTTATTTTAACGCTGCGGAGCAGCATGGGTCCTCTAGTTTATTTTTAAAGACAAAAGTCAAAATTTAATTGGTTTAGGTACCTAACATGATTAATTTCTTTAAAAAACAGCTGTCTTCATAAAATTGCCCTTTTCTCTTCTGTCATTTTTTTTCAATATTTACTTTTTCTGTTTATTCATCAGTTTACTTTCAAAATACAACGCTGACTGATGAAATAGGATAGTTTATTCATGCAGTTTCATCTTAAGTGTTAGGGACTAAAAATCAATTTATTTCATTATATTGTATTGTATTTTCAGATATGGTGTGCTTAACGTTTTCATAGATATTTTTATGTGTTGTGTTTTCAATTTTTAATTTGGGTTATAATAAAATGCCACAGAGATGAAACAATCCAGTGTTTGCAAATTTTCAACTTAACAAGAGAGATTGTATGAGAAAAAATGGTGAAAATTGAAATAAATGTTATGAAACCACGTGATAATTATATATAGTGCACGGCCAGATGCTGTCACAACAGACTTTTTTGACTTAGGAAATCTTACCGAGGACGAGGAGTGTGCTTACTGTAATGCCAAACTGTTTATTTGTTAAACTATTAAAACACACTGTATTACCATAATGGAAGTCTTATTATTGAAACACTAAAATGTCATCCTAATTTATGGGTCTTGATTGTAAGTTGTAACCAACATTGCATGAACAATATATGAGGTCACAACAGTGCTATGTATTTCGCTTCTTTTGGAGCAAACATTGGTCTTCCACCTGGGCTTCCTTACTGCTTCAGAATACACGGTCTGCAGTTTACCATAGAAGTGGGGGACTTACCTACGGCGCCACCCCTTTGTGTTTTGCGAAAAAGGAAAAGGTTTCAACATAAAAAAGATATTCAATTGCCCGTTTTTGGCAAGCTTACAAATGCATTTTTCCAAGAAAGGCATTTTACAATATGAGTACAATCCTTGTCACAAACATTCTCATTTATAATATTAGTAGGATTCTGCACGTCTACAGGAAAATACCTGTCTTGCAATATGTGTAGATTTTAGTATTCGTTAGATTAGGTTAGGTTACAGACGAAAAAAGCTAATAGTTTAATGAGATATTGAAAAAAATAGGCGTAAAATCTATGAAAAAAGACACTTATTTACAGTCATTAACGGGCCCTCCAAATATTACGTAACACAATTATAAGGTCTCTCTCCCATATGAACTAATAAATGTTTCTTCATATTGTTTTTGGTTGTAAAGGATTTTCCACATGTAGAGCACTTGTAAGGTCTCTCTCCTGTATGAACCAATGAATGTCTCTTCATATTGCTTTTTTTTGTAAAGAATTTTCCACATATAGAGCACTTGTAAGGGCTCTCTTCTGTATGACACAATGAATGCATCTTCATGTCGCCTTTGGATTTATAGGATTTTCCACATGTAGAGCACTTGTAAGGTCTCTCTTCTGTATGAACTAGTGTGTGTGTCTTCATATAGCATTTGGATGTAAAGGATGATCCACATGTAAAACAATTATAAGGTCTCTCTCCTGTATGAACCAATGAATGTCTCTTCATATGGCTTTTTCTTTTAAAGAATTCTCCACATATAGAGCACTTGTAAGGTCTCTCTTCTGTATGACACAATGAATGCATCTTCATAGCGCCTTTGGATTTATAGGATTTTCCACATGTAGAGCACTTGTAAGGTCTCTCTTCTGTATGAACCAATGAATGTTTCTTCATGTCGCCTTTGGATGTAAAGGATTTTTCACATTTAGAGCACTTATAAGGTTTCTCTCCTGTATGAACCAATGAATGTGTCTTCATCGCAGTGTTAGATGTATAGGTTTTTCCACATGTAGAGCACTTGTAAGGTCTCTCTCCTGTATGAACTAGTGTGTGTGTCTTCATATTGTATTTGGATATAAAGGATTTTCCACATGTTGGGCACTTATAATCTTTCCCAAAATGTATCATCAAATGTGTTTTTACATGTTGTTTTCGGAAAAAGGATTTTCCACATGCCAAACATTTAAAGGGACGCTCTCCGGTGTGATATAATATATGAGCCTTCATTGCGGATTGACTTGAACAACTTTGCACACATATTGGACACTTAAGAGGAAAATTTTTGAAGCAAGTTAACATTTCTATTCTTGCACTTTTTATTTCTATAAATCTTATCACATAAGCTAGTAACTATTTAGAAAAGGTCATAGATTCTTACGTAACTAAAAAGTATGCCTTTTTAAGTGGCTAGTAGTTACATGATGCTACCTCTCTCACTCGACATTGAATCACCTCATAGTCAAATCTTGCAATGCATATTAGGTATTTTACAATATACTTGAGGGATTTTCCTTTTTCTCTTGTCTTCTTTATTCTTCTTTTATATTAAATAACTTCTTAAATCGATTTAATCTGTTGCTTTAATTCTTTTTTTGTCTCGGCCTAAAACAAAAATGTTTAATGAAACTCAAATTCTAGTTCAACAAAACAAATTGTTGAATTTAACTTGTGTAGGAAAACATAGCATTTGGAGTGGTTCTTCAAAGTATTACATCAGGGATTATATCAATTAATTAGTTTTTAAATTCATTTTACGTAATTGTTTTTGAGCCTAATTTAATTTATGGAGGTATTACTCACATCTACAGTAAATACCTTTCTAACAGTATGCGTACGTTTTAGTATGCGTTAGGTTAGGTTAGGTTACAGACGAAGATGACTAAAGGTTTAATGAAATGTTGAAAAAATAGAAGTATAATCTATGAAAAAAGACACTTATTTGCAGTCACTAAGGGGCTTTCCGCATATTATGTAAAACAATTATAAGGGCTCTCTCCCGTATGAACCAATAAATGTTTCTTCATATCGCCTTTGGATGTAAAGGATTTTTCACATATACAGCACTTATAAAGTTTCTCTCCTGTATGAACCAATAAATGATTCTTTATATTGCCTTTGGATGTAAAGGATGTTTCACATGTTCAGCACTTATAAGGTTTCTCTTCTGTATGAACCAATAAATGTTTCTTCATATCGCCTTTGGATGTAAAGGATTTTTCACATGTAGAGCACTTATAAAGTTTCTCTCCTGTATGAACCAATAAATGATTCTTCATATTGCCTTTGAATGTAAAGGATTTTTCACATGTACAGCACTTATAAAGTTTCTCTCCTGTATGAACCAATAAATGATTCTTCATATTGCCTTTGGATGTAAAGGATTTTTCACATGTTCAGCACTTATAAGGTTTCTCTCCCGTATGAACCAATAAATGTTTCTTCATATCGCCTTTGGATTTATAGGATTTTCCGCATGTAGAGCACTTGTAAGGCCTCTCTTCTGAATGGACTAATAAATGTTTCTTCATATTGCTCTTGGATTTAAAGGATTTTTCACATGTGGAGCACTTGTAACGTTTCTCTCCCGTATGAACCAATAAATGTTTCTTCATATTGCCTTTGGATTTATAGGATTTTCCGCATGTAGAGCACTTGTAAGGCCTCTCTTCTGAATGGACTAATAAATGATTCTTCATATTGCTCTTGGATTTATGTAGAGCACTTGTAAGGTCTATCTCCTGTATGAACTAATGAATGTTTGTTCATACTGCCTTTGGATGTAAAGGATTTTCCACATGTAGAGCACTTGTAAGGTCTCTCTCCTGTATGAACTATTGTGTTTCTCTTATTATAGTCTTTTGATGCAAAGGATTTTTCAGATGCTGGGCACTTATGATGTATCAACAAATGTCTTTTTACATGGTATTTTTGGAAAAAGGTTTTCCCACATGCCAAACATTTAAAGGGACGCTCTCCCGTGTGATACAATATATGAGCCTTCATTGCGGATTGAGTTGAACAACTTTGCCCACATATTGGACACTCAAGAGGAAATATTTTTAAGCAAGCTAACATTTCTACTCTTGACCCTTTTATTTCTATTAATGTTATCACTATGATAGTGGTTTAAATACCTTATTCATGCAATCCAATTATTGGAATTGGATTTGGAATTGGATTGCATGAATAAGGTATTTAAACCACTATCATAGTTATTATTCACAATCCGGAGGCTACCCACACCATAATAATGTTATCACATAAGGTAGTAACTAATTAATTAGGAAAGTCATTAATTCGTATGTAATTAAAACTTGTTTGTAGGCCTTGTTAAGTGGCTAGTAGTTACATGATAGGCTACCTCTCTCACTCAACATTAAATCACCTCATAGTCAAATCTTGCAAAGCACATTGGGTATTTTACAATATACTTGAGGGATTTACTTTTCTCTCTTGTCTTCTTTATTCTTAAATTGTATTATATTGCTTCTTAAATCAATTAAATCTGATGTTTTAATTCTTTTTTGTCTCGACCTAAAACAAAATTGTTTATTGAAACTCAAATTCTAGTTAAACAATACACATTTTTGAATTTTATTTGTGTAGGGAAACATAACATTTGGAGTGGTTCTTAAAATTATTACATCAGAGATTATATCAATTAGTTTTTTTAAAGTGATTAAACTATATACTCCTCTCTTTTGTCTAAACTCAACTGTCTTCTTTTCTGAGAAAGATCATATCTTATTAAAACCATTTATTAATTAAAATGGGTTAAATAATAAATTTACAATATTTTAATTTCTACAAGCATGAGAATATCATAATGATTTTGAGGCTTTACTGTTATTCTCAATATTGAAAAAATCCCACTAACCAATAACACCTCAAATCCGAACACCGCTTAATATGAATCACCTGTTGCAGAGAAAACTTTGCTGTATTTAAAATAAAATAAAAAGAAAAACAACACAAATAGGTGCTCTAGAGAAAGTACTCCCCGGTCTGTATCACTCCGTTATTTTTTCCTCGGCAAGCAATGTGCTCCGCGACTTGAGAAAATAGTTCCGTATATTTTTGTAATTTGCACTGGTTGAATACTATACAATCTATATATTTAATACACAGTTGTAACACTGTTTTCTCAGTAATTACTGGACCGATCTACAAGATTTATGTCTCAAATAAAAGGGGATAGTGTGTAGATTTGCCGATTCCTAGAACACACGGAAGATTTCTCTATATATTTAATACACAGTTGTAACACTGTTTTCTCAGTAATTACTGGACCGATTTACAAGATTTATGTCTCAAATAAAAGGGGATAGTGTGTAGATTTGCCGATTCCTAGAACACACGGAAGATTTCTCAGGTGCCGTTTGACGTCACTAACTGCTGACGTTACTTTGAGGGAACACCAATACCGCAACGATACGTTATCAGCCATCGGCCTCGGTGGTGCAGTGGATAGCGTTGCGGGCTGATAATCCGAATGATCCGGGTTCGAATCCCGCCGGTGGCACTAACTATTTATCAACAATTTTTTCATATTAGCAAGTTTGGTTGGTTTGGTTAGGTTATGACAGTTTAATTTTATAATTAAAATATCATAAAATTGAATTTTAGACAATTATAATTTTATTTTATGAACACAACTATTTTTTAGATTAGTAAACCTTTATTCGATTTTTCCCATTATCAGCACGTTTGGTTAGTTTGGTTAGGTTATGACAGTTTAATTTAATAATAGAAAATTATAAAATTGTCTGTTTCTTCAGACGCAGCAGTTAGTGACGTCAAACGGCACCTTAGAAATCTTCCGTGTGCCCCACCGCCCGTGCTCCGCCACGGGAATATTGTCAACAATAAGAGACATAATAATATAAACAAATACTGTTTATCTTTGTATTTTTTTAGGGGCTGCTTATTTTTTACACGAAATAGAACTGATAATTGGCCTGTATAAACTATTTATGTTAATCAAACCCATTTATTAGTTTAGCCAAATGTTAGAGGTTATTAACGGTCCAATCCGATGGTAAAAGTAGTCCCGAATCTTAAAATTATATAAAGTACCAAAATGATGTTGATTCATCTAAGTGAGAGTTAGAACTCGCCATTGCAATAAATGTATTATTCAAATATTTGTTGATAAGGAGCTAATTTTACCTTCACATTATGACAACATAAGGAGAATATATTTGTGTCCCTGTTAGTCTGTATTGACTCAAAATTCATAAATTTGCAGTTGTGACAAATCTAATTAAACGATCACAATACAAAAGAATTGGTGTTATGTAGTGACTTCCAGAGCACATTTAAGTGAAATTTACTTCTTTAGTTCGATGGTTCTCCAAGTGTTTTTTTTTCCGTTCTGGCTGTCTCTTTACGCAGAGTTAGTGACTTTTTACCTTTTCTTTTTATTTTTGTTGTTTTCACACCCAGGGAATTATGACAAAGTTTTATAACGCTGTAATGACCCGAGTCAACATTTATGTCTCAAATAAAAGGGGATAGTGTGTAGATTTGCCGATTCCTAGAACACACGGAAGATTTCTCTATATATTTAATACACAGTTGTAACACTGTTTTCTCAGTAATTACTGGACCGATCTACAAGATTTATGTCTCAAATAAAAGGGGATAGTGTGTAGATTTGCCGATTCCTAGAACACACGGAAGATTTCTCAGGTGCCGTTTGACGTCACTAACTGCTGACGTTACTTTGAGGGAACACCAATACCGCAACGATACGTTATCAGCCATCGGCCTCGGTGGTGCAGTGGATAGCGTTGCGGGCTGATAATCCGAATGATCCGGGTTCGAATCCCGCCGGTGGCACTAACTATTTATCAACAATTTTTTCATATTAGCAAGTTTGGTTGGTTTGGTTAGGTTATGACAGTTTAATTTTATAATTAAAATATCATAAAATTGAATTTTAGACAATTATAATTTTATTTTATGAACAAAACTATTTTTTAGATTAGTAAACCTTTATTCGATTTTTCCCATTATCAGCACGTTTGGTTAGTTTGGTTAGGTTATGACAGTTTAATTTAATAATAGAAAATTATAAAATTGTCTGTTTCTTCAGACGCAGCAGTTAGTGACGTCAAACGGCACCTTAGAAATCTTCCGTGTGCCCCACCGCCCGTGCTCCGCCATGGGAATATTGTCAACAATAAGAGACATAATAATATAAACAAATACTGTTTATCTTTGTATTTTTTTAGGGGCTGCTTATTTTTTACACGAAATAGAACTGATAATTGGCCTGTATAAACTATTTATGTTAATCAAACCCATTTATTAGTTTAGCCAAATGTTAGAGGTTATTAACGGTCCAATCCGATGGTAAAAGTAGTCCCGAATCTTAAAATTATATATAGTACCAAAATGATGTTGATTCATCTAAGTGAGAGTTAGAACTCGCCATTGCAATAAATGTATTATTCAAATATTTGTTGATAAGGAGCTAATTTTACCTTCACATTATGACAACATAAGGAGAATATATTTGTGTCCCTGTTAGTCTGTATTGACTCAAAATTCATAAATTTGCAGTTGTGACAAATCTAATTAAACGATCACAATACAAAAGAATTGGTGTTATGTAGTGACTTCCAGAGCACATTTAAGTGAAATTTACTTCTTTAGTTCGATGGTTCTCCACGTGTTTTTTTTTCCGTTCTGGCTGTCTCTTTACGCAGAGTTAGTGACTTTTTACCTTTTCTTTTTATTTTTGTTGTTTTCACACCCAGGGAATTATGACAAAGTTTTATAACGCTGTAATGACCCGAGTCAACATTTATGTCTCAAATAAAAGGGGATAGTGTGTAGATTTGCCGATTCCTAGAACACACGGAAGATTTCTTTATATATTTAATACACAGTTGTAACACTGTTTTCTCAGTAATTACTGGACCGATCTACAAGATTTATGTCTCAAATAAAAGGGGATAGTGTGTGGATTTGCCGATTCCTAGAACACACGGAAGATTTCTCAGGTGCCGTTTGACGTCACTAACTGCTGACGTTACTTTGAGGGAACACCAATACCGCAACGATACGTTATCAGCCATCGGCCTCGGTGGTGCAGTGGATAGCGTTGCGGGCTGATAATCCGAATGATCCGGGTTCGAATCCCGCCAGTGGCACTAACTATTTATCAACAATTTTTTCATATTAGCAAGTTTGGTTGGTTTGGTTAGGTTATGACAGTTTAATTTTATAATTAAAATATCATAAAATTGAATTTTAGACAATTATAATTTTATTTTATGAACAAAACTATTTTTTAGATTAGTAAACCTTTATTCGATTTTTCCATTATCAGCACGTTTGGTTAGTTTGGTTAGGTTATGACAGTTTAATTTAATAGGCCCCTAATAGAAAATTATAAAATTGTCTGTTTCTTCAGACGCAGCAGTTAGTGACGTCAAACGGCACCTTAGAAATCTTCCGTGTGCCCCACCGCCCGTGCTCCGCCATGGGAATATTGTCAACAATAAGAGACATAATAATATAAACAAATACTGTTTATCTTTGTATTTTTTTAGGGGTTGCTTATTTTTTACACAAGATATATAAATTATTCGTCAGCTGTTCAATTTTTGTCAGACATTTGTTATTATTTTTATAACCTCACTTTCAGTATGTAATTATTAATCTAGGAGTTTCTGTTTATTAACACACAATTTTGATCAAGGAAAGTATATTTTTGTACATTATTTGTATGTTTTGGTGTAAATTTTGTATTTTTGAAATGTTTTAGTTTTCCTGCGAAGTGATCTGAAGGAAAGTGGTAATTGAGTTTAAGTTTGAGTATGTGATGTGAAATAATACCCATAGTAGGGGACGGAAACTTATTGTTTTGATCAAGATAATTTATTCTTCTATAGCCACCAGAACAATCATGGGGAGTACAGATAATTGCTAATGAGTGGGAAACATTTTATCGTAGTGATTAATCTTACTCAAGATCAATGTTTGACGTTCAGCAGTACCAAATTTTACCTTCTCGAGCTGGCGAGTATGCTGGGATACGTGGAACTACGATTTATCAGTGAACTATACCCTATTTTTCATTCGAGTACACAGGGAAGTTGCTTGTAAAACTGTGACTTACGATTTCGGTTCTGGCGAAGAAGTATGTGACTTGATGTTTAATGGCAATGTTGACTCGGGTCATTATAGCGTAATAATACTTTATCATTAACCCCAAGGTGTGAAAAGTAGAAAAAGAAAAAGAAAAGGTAATCATTAACCGGGCGTAAGAGACATACAGAACGAAAAAAACACGTAGAGAACCATCAAACTAAAAAGGTAAAGAGCAGTGATGGTGTTTAATATGCTCTGGAAGTCCTTAAAAATACACCAACCAATTGGGGTTGTTAAATTGAATTTTTCACTACTGCAAATCTATGAATTTCCAGTCAGACTAAAACAGACTAAAAAGGACATAAATATATTCTCCTTTGTTGTCACAAGGGGAAGGTAAAATGAATTCCTTAACAACAAATGTAATGAAAAAAACAACGAATACAGGAATATACTTGAACAAATTATCTCCTTAGCATAAGTAGCTGCTTATTAGGTTATCAGCATTGCGCAGTTTGTATACTATTTATTTTTCAAACGAAACTCGAATTAGTATAAAACATTCGTTTGGTTAAATTATATCGGTTTGATTAACATAAAATAGTTTACACAGGCAAACTACCTGTTCTATTTCATATAACAAACTAGCTGTAACCCGCGGGCTTTGCCCCGTTTAACTTCTTAATTTTCAAGATGATCTCGTTCGCATGGCTCAATCACGTCCTGGTTGAAAAATTAAGCAGCCCCTAAATAAAATACAAAGATAAACAGTATTTGTTAATCATTATGTGTTTTATTGCTGACAATATTCCCGTGGCGGAGCACGGGCGGTTAACTAGTATTTTAAAATGTGATGATGGTTTCTGAGGGGGGATTTTTTTTTTCCTAGGACGCTAGGCACGAGCCTGGGATTGTTCTTCACATTACTTCAGGCTAGACCTAGGGGTTGCGGCATTATCACTTAGATAAAATCCATTGGTGACTTGGCGGGGATCGAACCCGGGACCTCACGGACCGAAGTCCCGCGCTCTAGCCACTACGCCAGCTCGCGGGTGATTAAAGGATAATATAATTTAAATTTGCTATGAATTTTCTGACAATTTATTTAAATAGGCTACCTATATGGCGAATTTTGGTACAATAAAAGAAGTAGAATTATATAACTAAAATGAATGAATGTAGTGAATGGTCTAAAAATGACATGTAACATTGCAACTATATAAAATAAATAAAAATAAATGAATAAATAAAACTTTCATTCATGAGCAAATTTCAGAATACAAAACTACTAGCATATACAAATTGACTCAAGTCAGGACCTAAACTAACAAAACTTCTTATAACTACAAAACAAAATAAGATTAGTTACAAACTCTTTAGGCAATTCTAAAAATTTGTGCGTTGACAAAGTGCATAGCAGAACAATTTTCAGGGTTAAGCTTTAACCCATGATCCTTAGACCATTCACAAACCTTTAAAAGGTAGGCCTACTACTACGCTGTAATGCTTCCCCAACAAAAGTAGGCTGGTATGATAAATAGAGTTGCCAGTTGTCAGCATAAAGCCCCGTTTCTATCAAACATTTTCTGCTCAAAATATTGTTGTCAGCTAAACTCACAACAATAATGGAGTAAAAAGGTGAATGGAAACACTCGCAAAATGTGAGGAAGATAGGTCGGACTTTATGCGGATTCGAGACTGTATTAAGTCCTTTGAAGTGAGGTTAGATTAGGTAAGTTAAAGGTTAGGTTAGTTATCCTTATATTCGTAATCCTAATCTTTGTTTTACGGCGACTACGGCCACTTACGAATCTCTCCGACAAAAACTGATTGCATTTTTGGATTCAGCGTTAAAAATACTGTAAGTAGACATATAAAAATACATCATATCCCAATGTAAATACAGTAGACTCCCTCTTATCCGGACACCTTTTAACCGGACATTGGTTTAACCGGACCACGCTCGGTAGAAGTGACATCTCTTTATCCGGATAATTTTTATCAGCACATCGGTTTAACCGGACTAGATCGCCAGGAAGTGGGTGGTACTGAAACGACTGTTCTCGTGGGAAAGATTTGAGACCAGTGATTATGTGTCTAAATACAACAATGCTCTCCTAATTTTAAGTCAAATACTGTATAGAGTATGCATTTAAACGGTCTTTTTTAATGAGATTTTGGGGACGTCGGTTTAACCGGAAAACCCGTTATCCGGACTGGCCTCGGTCCCGAGGAGTCCGGATAAGAGAGAGTCTACTGTACAGTAAATATTTGCCCTCAAGGGTATTAACAGGACTGTCCTTTTCTTTTCTAATGTATTTTGTAATTTACTAGCTTACTGTAAGTTAACCCTCCGAGTGTCCCTAGTTTTGGCCTTAATGTTTGCCTATTTTTTGCGCATTTGCAAGGTGTTATTAAAACGGATCTGAGAAGCTTAAAAACAATGTTAATTATACTGTTCTATTATACATATACTATTTTGTTAGGAAAATCATGGGCTTCAATATTATACATAAAACATAAGGAACATTTGTTTAAAAAAAAATTTTTAGGTAAAAAAAAATATTTTGGAAATTTAAAAAAAAAAAATAAGTTCGCGCTCAATGAAATTGTATAAATTATAGGCCTATAAATATTTGAAAATAGCCACTTTGTTCTAAATTTTATGAGGATTACAAATATATAATAATTAAGGAAGTAGATTTGCAAATAAATAAGTTATGGGCAAAAAACAGATTTCAGTACATAGCGTTTAGCTAAGAATGCATAGCCTAACCATAGCTAGGAATCTGGCTGATAATTTACATCAATATCACTACCTAACTTACTTCTTCAGGATCATCAACCAGCCCTTCAAAATCACTTAAATCTTCTTAAAATGCACCACGTACACGTATATCACTACTTTTGATTTTTAACACTAAAACAATGATAAACGTAATAAAACACATCAGTCACCGTCACCGATGTGAAATAACCAAGATGTCGGACGTCATCTGTCTGCTACAATTATGATCAGCAAGCGCTTAGAGACAGACCGAGGGAGAAAGCTTAGAATGTACGGAATAAAACGATACCTAACTCGATCCAGTTCAATCCGATTTTGTCAGTCATAGAGCCTTCGCCGTAAACAGTGTTTGTGTGTCGAAAAATCGACACAAAACACTACACAAAGTGTGTTATGTGTCGATTTTTCGACAAATAACACTCGGAGGGTTAAGCTTATGGTTTGTGATAACCAATGTTCAGCCATTAAGTTAATGCTTTATCTGAGTTTGCATACTAAGGTCCGACCTCAAAGAGCTTAGGTCAATAAGTACCTACTTAATAAAATTAATAGAATACACTTAATTTAGGCTACCTGTTTAAGGTAGGCCTAATCAACATAGGATGCAACAGTGAGAACTCTTCCTCTACAGGTAATGCAACTTGAAACCTGTAAAGACAATTCTGTGAATAGCTTTTTTGATTAGGTAGGCCTAGGTACACAAGCTGCAAATTAAGTTAATTATTACAGATTACAGGCCTATACAAAGTTTCATAAAATTTGGTCTGTAAACCATATTATGGAACTAAGCTAGGTAACCTAGCCTAGCCTATGTTACTTGAAGTTTGACTATAACTGGTACCTACAAATCCTTTATTCAATAGCAGCAAGAGTGGATTGAAATATGTAAAGGTTGATTAATTGGTGGGACCACAATATAAAAAAAATTGACTTCAGTGAGGTTGGACAAAAACAAAACAAAATTTTCTGTAGGTCCACATAGCAAACTTACTATTAACAATACAGGCAAGTCATGTCCTCAACCATAAAATTGGACTGGCCAAACTGCCTGTTGAACTAACAGTGCTATGCTAGAGGAAAGATAAACTGCTTAGAATCCAGCTAAAATTACCTATGCTAAGTAGCAGGAAGATTGTTCTTTTCAAAGTTTTTTTCCGGGTGTATTGGTTTTAACTGCAAATTTATGGGGTAAAGAAGCTAAAAAAAGCTAAACCAAAACCAACAAGGTGTTAGTTTTAGTTAACCTCAAAAGAAACTGATTAAACAATAATTGACGACATCTTGAACAATAAATCTTTTCTTTTTTTCCCTCTGCTTCTGCTGGTTTGCTTAGCCGGTTTAGGACCGTCGTGAAGTTAGCGGCTCTTTTCATCGGCGCTTTTTCGGTTTGTAATAGATGTGGGTTGGTACTCCTGCGGACGCCACAAACGTGTTTTGCAGGGATGTCGGAAACACAATTCAATGACAATACGGTGCGAAATGATGTTTTTATATTTATATAATGTCAATTATACATTAATAAAACGTGTATACAAGTTAAAACTAATTAATTGACGTATTTTAAAAGGCCAATTTGAGACCGTAGTGTACATTATACGTAGCTATGGCTTAACATAACGCGATCAATTAAAACTCCGAACACAAAAGTGCATAATCTTTTTTTCCCAAGCCCATCACATAAACTTTGAGCTATTCTAATGGTAATATACAATGTGTAGAATACTCAGTATAAATATGATTGAGGCAGTCCAGTAAATTACGAAGTTATCTGGCAAAATGTATATGGTTGATAGTAACTCGTATCAGGAAAAAGTGCACAATCTTTTTCCTAAGCCCATCACACCAACTTTGAGGTATTCTAATGGTAATGTACAATGTGTAGAATAGGTACTCAGTATAAATATGATTGAGGCAGTCCAGTGAATTACGAAGCTTTAAGGCAAAATCTATATGGTTGATAGGAACTCGCATCAGGAAAAAGTGCACAATCTTTTTCCTTAGTCCATCACATCAACCTTGATGTATTCTAATGGTAATATACAATGTGTAGAATACTCAGTATATATATGATTGAGGCAGTCCAGTGAATTACGAAGCTATAAGGCAAAATGTATATGGTTGATAGGAACTCGCATCAGGAAAAGTGCACAATCTTTTTCCTGAGCCCATCACATCAACTTTGAGGTATTCTAATGGTAATATACAATGTGTAGAATAATCAGTATGAGTATGATTGCGGCAGTCCAGTAAATTACGAAGTTATATGGCAAAATGTATATAGTTGATAGGAACTCGCATCAGGAAAAGTGCACAATCTTTTTCCTAAGCCCATCACATCAACTTTGAGATATTCTAATGGTAATATACAATGTGTAGAATAATCAGTATGAGTATGATTGCGGCAGTCCAGTAAATTACGAAGTTATATGGCAAAATGTATATGGTTGATAGGAACTCGCATCAGGAAAAGTGCACAATCTTTTTCCTGAGCCCCATCAACTTTGAGGTATTCTAATGGTAATATACAATGTGTAGAATAATCAGTATGAGTATGATTGCGGCAGTCCAGTAAATTACGAAGTTATATGGTAAAATGAATATGGTTGATAGGAACTCGCATCAGGAAAAGTGCACAATCTTTTTCCTGAGCCCATCACATCAACTTTGAGGTATTCTAATGGTAATATACAATGTGTAGAATACTCAGTATAAATATTAATGCGGCAGTCCAGTGAATTACGAAGTTATATGGCAAAATGTTGATAGCTGAAACAATAGGTTGATAGGAACTCGCATCAGGAAAAGTGCACAATCTTTTTCCTAAGCCCATCACATCAACTTTGAGGTATTCTAATGCTAATATACAATGTATAGAATAATCAGTATGAGTATGGTTGCGGCAGTCCAGTGAATTACGAAGCTATAAGGCAAAATCTATATGGTTGATAGGAACAAGTAAAACACCGAATATTAAAAAATAAAACGCACATTAAAATTGGCCGATTGATTATACTATTAAAAGATAATGTAAATGTGACAATAAAAAACATCCGTGTAAATATAGCTGAATACAACAAAGAAAAGAAAAATAGATTTAAAGGTACAGTTAATGAGAAAGCGAAACCATTTGCTAAATTTAAAACCAAAAGAACTGGAAAAGTTCAATCGTCAAAGGATAACGATATCAATAACAATTCAAAACTACCCAACACCTTCCACAGCTCAGAAACAAAATGTAATGCCGAATCCGTAGATGGACAAAAAATTGAGGAAACGTACCACGATAACAATGAAGCTGAATCTGCAAGCGCCATCAAGTTTTTTTGTAAGGTGGAAAATGAAAAAAAGAAAAACTCCGACACCTCCGACACCGACCTTCCTGTATCAAAAGCTATTGTGAAAAATGACAGAGAAGAAGATATTGAAGACCAACTGAGAACCATATTGAAAATAAACAGCGAAGAAGACATAGATGATCCACCGAAACCCATTTTATTCGAAATTAACAGCGAAGAAGACATCGATGAGCCACCGAAACCCATAGTATTGGAAATTAACAGCGAAGAAGACTTCGATGATCCACCGAAACCCGTATTATTGGAAAACAGCGAAGAAGACTTCGATGAACCACCGAAACCCGTATTATTGGAAAACAGCGAAGAAGACTTCGATGATCCACCGAAACCCGTATTATTGGAAAACAGCGAAGAAGACATCGATGATCCACCGAAACCCGTATTATTGGAAATAAACAGCGAAGAAGACATCGATGACCCATATATTGAGGAATCATGGTGCAAGAAACGAAAATCTGCTGATAGCTATTTTACGGGCCACTCTCCTAAAGCTATAAAATTAAAGAATAACACTAATGCGACATCTAAATTCAGATTACGCCCAGTCACTACTAAAGCATTTGTAGAGAATGACACTAAACAAGAGGAGGAACAAGTAGATAGTGTAAAAAGTAGTACAATAACTAAATGTAGAATAAGTTTGAACAAGGAATATCCGCACGAGAAAGCTATGCCAAATGGACTGTTCGATAACCCGGATTTTTATACAGACGTACTTGTTGCTGATTCATACATAGTAGCAGTATTCAAAAATTTTACTCCAACTAAAACCTTAGTATTATTTGGAGAAGAATATTCGTCTCTATTTGATAACCGCGAGTTAATTCAAGGCTCGGTTGATGCATGTATTGCAGCAGTTTTAAAATCATTAAACAAAGAAACAATTATAAAATTAGTTAATGTGGAATCAAATTACTCCTTGTTGAGAGGACATTCAGTAACTGTAGCATCACCACTGTGGAGTTATTTTAGAAACTTAAACAAGTACGAAGCCATGCTAATGCCGTATGTAATACCAATTAGTGACCAAAGGAACCATTATTGTTTGATCATAGGCGATTTAAAAAATAAAGTTTGTTATTATTATAATCCTCTACCAGATTGTGGCGATACAAACACAATAGCTCATAGAAAATTTCGCAACTTCTTGTGTTCTCTTCAAAAAACACAATACAGATCAGATGACTTTGAAGTAAATAAGTGGACTTTTACTGAAGCTGTCGGAGTAACGCAACAAGACAGTTATAGCTGTGGTGTGTACGTTATAAATTTTATAGAGCGCTGGCTAAAAAAAGAAAATCTGACTTCTAATTTTGATCCAAGAATTTACAGAAATTATTTAAAAAGACTGTGCCTACATCAGTCTGAAAATGTTTCCGATTTATGTTTATATTGCGGAAAGGGAGAAACAAAATGCCAAATTTGGGTAATGTGTGACAACTGCAAACGATGGGTTCATTACAAGCCATGTTTGAGACACTTAAACTTAACATTATCGGAAGCACAAAGTGTAGATTTCTCATATCAATGTGAGCTTTGCAAATCTTATGAGCGAAAATATAACTGTAATCCATGGAGCGTTTGAACTATCTTTGGTTGATGGTTGAGAGACGTTAAATATTGAATTTTTGATGAATCACTGTGTAACAGACTTAGATCTTTCTGTAGATGAATTCAAATTCGTTATATAAGAACTGTAAGCCTTTGTTTGGTGTTTTATTGAGAAATGATTAAACACTCCAAATTGTAGCCTATATAATTCATTTGTATGCATTACAAACAAAACTCAGTAAACAAGATACAATTAGGAAAAAAATGAAAAATATATATTATGATTTGAACTGCTATATAGTAATCAAATCTAAATTATCTTAAAACTGTACATACTACTATCATGAAGATCTGTCAGCTTTATAAGTATAGAAACAAGGCTATGGAACTAGGAAGTGCTCTTTCTGCACATTTACAACCCATAATGCCCCTCATTGCCCTTGAATTGTCCAGAAGAAAATATGTTAAACATATGGGGACTCGTGTTCAACGTAGCCGGCTAAAAAGCGGATAGTATACTTCTGATTCTTCTTCTTAATTCAATGCTAGGTAAGTAAGCACGTTAGTTAGCATGTTAATGAGTATAAAAACAGGTGGTAGTACCAGTACCAACAACATCATATTATAACACCGTTTAAAATAATAAACATATAATGTTCAGATACTCGGATCACATATTGAATATTTTTGGTTACTAAATTATTAGATTTGTTTACAAACAAATTATAATCTTTTTAAACCTATGTCAAGAGTGACTGTTAACGTGGTGACTGTTTTCCTATTTAGAAGGCGAAACTTATAATTTTACTCCAAAATATTTTCAATGAAACAGGTGCAGTAAGAGTTTTTAATTTGGAACAATAGTTATTATTTCACATTCGTCCCAGAATTGAAATGAGTAATGTATTATTGCTTACTAAAAAGGGGTAATATTTATATTGAATTGAAAATTTATACTTTTATTGAAATAACTAAACACGATAAATTTAGTAACGGGCGCTAATTAACTCTAATTTTAAAGGCAGTCTTTCGATTTGGACCAGTCCACAAGCGCTCAAAGGAGTTGGAAGTCAAGCGAGTGACGAAATGACTATTGCAGTGCCTCACACCTTCCACCTGAAGTCAACGACACCTTGACGACACACAGCTAAACGTAATGTGTTTCTTTATCAGTTAAATTGATTAATTTAACTTACTCTAAGCAAAATCCATGACACATATGCAACCATTAATACTACACTTTAAATAGATATTCTCTAGGTTACCTCCCGCTATCTCCGCGTCCCGCCACCTCCGATTTTCAGAGTGACCCTTATAATCCTCGATTACTACCTGAATTAAGACTTTCCGCGAGCGCGAAGCCCCTTTTAACCGTTTAACAATAACTTATATTCTAGTTATATAAACAAACAGTAAA